CTTCCCCCAAAAGAAGACACACCCAAATGGTCTTTCAAGTCTTTTGGGACTTGTTCCTACTGGAATTGCCAAAATAAATGAGGACATGGCGGCAAGGCAAGGTGAAGTTAGGGCGATTGCTCCAGAAAAACCATGGGGTCGACCTCCTGCTTTTTATTGTTTTTTTCCCCTGTCGCGGGGGCGTCCGTGAGGCGCCATTGTCACCCTGGACCAGGCGATCGAAGCAGGATCCTTCTTGCAGGACGGAGTCGGTCGGGTGGCGAGCGAGGGCCCCGTGCGAGCGAGCGAGCCGTCAGGGAGCCCACTTCAAAGACGTGGTCAACAAGGGCGACGTGGACGCCGGCTTCAAATCCAGCGACCTTGTGCCCTGGCGAGAGGGATCCACGCATGGATCACTTGAAACAAATCCAGCTGAGGTCATACTGTGGATGGACGAAGTCCTGCACCACTTTGAGACCATGGGAAGCCATTGTTTGTTGGTATTTACAGGGGAATCATTCATTCCAGGGTTTCTTAGGTGGTGCAAGATTTTTGTCCATCCACAGTAGGTGTCAAACAAAAGGGCAACACCCATACTGTACTGAGGGAGACACTCCGCACCTTTCGGCTTAGAGCTTCCATTGGATATCCATCCAGAAGGCCCATATTCTCATTTTACTTGGCTCAAGCAAAGGTCTGATTTGACACATCCCCGACGTCAGACGTCAGGTCTTCGAAGGCACTACCTACGTCATTGGGCAGCACGCCTTCCCGCTGGAGAAGCAAACTGCTTTGGCAGTTCCCGAGGAGAAGAAGGGCATGACCGCCCCTTGAATCGAACATGATGCTCTTTTCTAGGGGCTGATTCCCCATTCTTTTCAACCATCGTTCTTGTCAAACACCACCCGTTTTCCCTGGGTTTCCGGAGGTTTTCTGGAAAGAAGGATCCCTGGAAAGAATGGGGAAGGTACCCTTAGATCTTTGGTGCGTCTCGTTGACCGGAGCGAAGGTCTGGCACTCCACGCAGGGCCACGACTTTACCCGTGCCAAGTGCCTCAGCGCCAAACATGCCGCCGGCCTTGCAGACAACTCAACAGTTCTCACAGATGTCAACATCAAGAAGGACTTTTATGGGCAGAGAAGCGAGAGAAGAAGACTCTGGTTCCGGAATTTGCGACATTGACAGCAGCCTCCATTTGGGTGTCTCCTGAAATGGGACAATACGGTAGCCAAACAAATGGTTGTTCTCCTTGTGGTGTCTCTGATTTCATCATTAAACCTTTATCGTTTGTGGCTTGCTCTTTGGTTTCGCCAAATATCCTTTGGAACTTGCTGAGAATGCACATTTCCGGTGTTTAGCCCAACGTTCGCCACTTTTTTGGGGGTATCTGAAAGGTCTTTGAGACAGTGCGCCCCTTTTGACATGCCATAACACAAAACAAACAAAACACATATGTCGCTTTTCTTTGCTGGAAAGACACCAGGCTGGCGGGCGTGCTGGGTGTGCCGGGCGCCTTTGTGGTGTGCAAGCAGAGCCGTGCCGGGGGTGCCTTCGGGCCCAAGAACAGCCGCCAGGCGCTGTGAAACACTCCAGGGCCCTAGGGGTTGCTTCCATTTCCATTCTTTCCAGGGATCCGAATCTTTCTGGAACCCACAAATGCTGGGGAAAGGGCTGCTTTTCAGAAAACGATGGCTGACAAGAATGGGGAATCAACCCTTAGCACTGGATATTTACGTGGAATGTGTCCAGTGACTCTGACTGATGTACTTCGATTTACTCTCCTGTTCACCAACCTGGAAGCCATCAGAGGGTCCCTTCAGAACTTCAGGAAATTAGTGGAGCGAATAACCCGACATGCCAAGCTTCAGCGGTGAAATTGACTGCGTCGATCCACATTGGGACGGAAGAGGCATGAAAGGATGATTAGACACAGGACCAGCTGAGGTGATGGGAGTGAGTGAGGGAGGGAGGGAGCGAGCGGGAGGGGAGTGAGTGAGTGAGTGAGCGAGTGAGCGAGTGAGTGAGTGCGGGAGGGAGCGAGCGGGAGGGCGTGGGGAGTGGACTGGAGTGGACTGGAGTGGACTGGAGTGCAGTGGAGTAGAGTGAGGCGGGGAGACGGAGTCGTGCGCGCGGAGTCAGGCAACGAGACTACAAGAACCCCACCCAGTGATACCAGTGATGTGGGGAATCAGTCTTGAAGCGCAGTATGTGGCGATTTCGTCTGTTTGGCTTCGTTTGCAAAGCTCGAGGTGCCAGTGGCCGCCATGGCCGCGGTGGCTGCCCACAAGCCGCTCAGACCCCATGAGCTCTTCCTGCCTGGGTGGATCTTCTTTACGGTTATTGCTCAGAACACAAGACGTGGGTTTGCCTTGTTGTGAGGAACCCCCAAAAATAATTATGCTTGCTGCCCTAAATCCCCCAAAAGGGGGTATATCCAGGAAAAGGAGCCGTGACGCGCCCTTTGCAAACTGGTCGAAACACTTGGTCAGCACTCAGGTAGCGTATCGTAGCCCATACCAATAATATGAGGAGTGTCTTTAGTGACAAATTGGGGCTGTTATGTTAGACTTTACCGGATCGCCCGCCCGCCAACAGAGCCTTGGGACAGACAGCTGTGACAGAGCTTATGATGACAGAGCTGGACAGACAGATATGGTGGCCAGATCCAGGAGAGCCACGACGCCTGAGACTCCTGCGCAGCCCCCAGAACAGCGGCCAGCACAAAGGCCCGGCTGTGCAAGGTTCGCCTTCGCGTTGTCCACGCAGCCTGAGCCCCAAGCGCTTGTGCTCAGAGCTTCGCAGAGTGGGATGTTGAGCGCAGAGCGCGGGAGCAGGCGTGGGCGTGTGTGTGTGTGTGTGTTTTTATACTAAACAATCTAAGGATGTCTGAGCTTTGCCCCGCCTTGTCCGCCACCAATGTGCCGCAGAGGGCTGAAAGTTGGCGTATCTCAGCGCAGATTCACAAGTATGAACGCACACACGCACACAGACACAGACGCAGACGCAGACGCAGGCGCAGACACACGCCCAGACGCAGGCGCAACCCACACACACAGACACACGCACGCGCACCACACTGTTGTACGCGTGGCGCGCGTGGCCCAAAGCTCCAAGATCTATTTACGTCTGTGAGCTATTCGTCAAAGTTGCCTAAAAGGCCAAGATGCGAGAATCGTGCCGCCCTTCCTTTGCCCCGGGGCTGCGCTGCGACAGCGCAACCCTTGCCGCCGCGTTTTCGCCGCTCTCGGCAAGCACAAGCAGCGGCGGGCGTTAGGGTAGCTCCGCGGAAACGTGTTGCGCAACTTCGCGCTTCGCAGAGAGCTGCAAACAAGCAAGCAAGTTTGGGGCTTGGAGGCGCGTCAGCACAGCTCAGGTTGGAGAAGGCTGTGAAGGTGGCTTTCGAAGCAACCTTGGAGCAGCAGGCGGTGGGAGGACGTCATGGCTTCAAAACCAAGTACAAGGCGGGCCTGGGGTGGGGGGCGTTGAACAAGTCACCAAGGGTTGGGGCCCGGCGTAGCCAAACCCTGCGCAACCAGCGCGCCTTGCAAGCCGCAAGATCATGAATGCCACATTGCTAGATCAGTGTTGCGGAGCTCAGTTGGGAACCGACGTATGTGAGACTCGCATGTTGCTTGCCGTCCACTGCAGGTGGTGTCACAGAGAGCGAGGCTTTGGTTGGTGGTGGTTTGCGTCCTTGGTCTGCTCTTTTTTCGGCCTTGAACCTGCAGAGCTCTTGGCAAAGTGTTCGTATCCATATCCAAGCGGTCCAAGCGTGCGCAAAGGAATCAATATTCCCATTGCTTGTTCAACTCATTCGCGGTATGCGCAACGGAGCCTTCATGGCACCATGTCAGTGTATGTGTGTGTGTGTGTTGGAAACATCAAGCCTAGAGGGGCAACTGTGACGTTCCTAGCAAGGTTTGTCAACTTGTCTGGAAAACTGAGATCGGGTCACTGAAGTCATGTCCCGAAGCGACGGGGAGCATTCGAACGCAGGTGGGAGTGACCAAGGAAGGCAAGATCCAGTCGTGCCGTGGCCAGAAGCGCTGCCACAAGTTTTTCTGGCAAAGCTGAAGCTTTTCTTCTCACTGACAAAGTTGCCAATGTGGCGACATTCTGGCGCAAGATTATGGTCCGACCCCTGTTGACGGCATTTTTTGAACATACGGTGGCTGAATTGGCAAGGTGTGACATCGAGTCTTGGTGCAACGGCGGTTGCACGCACGACTTCACAGGACGGAGCTAGTTGCAATGATTTCACGGCTAAATCGTGTTTTTTTTGTTTGGTTGCAGGTGGCAAACCAGCGTGTCTCCCTGTTTGCAAGCAATGTCTAACAGTGTTTTTCATCACAAAGCCCTGGAAAAAGGATCCAAAAGCTGGGGTTTCTCATGGGGCCGGCCCCTATGCCCCGTCGATAGCAGTCTTTGCTTTGCAGGATTCTTGACGCTGGAGATGGGGGAGGCGATCCCTGGTGTGTACAACTGGCCCAATATGAAGATCAACGTCCATGCAACTTGGGCTTAATCAAGAGGATCTGGGCCTAAATTGCCAAGGCCAAAGACTTTAGTGGGTCGGCAGGTTCAAACTCAAGCTGAGGCGATGAAGACTAACTTACCGAGCAACACTGCGGTCAGATCCTTTGGCAGCCCCCAAGGCAGGTTTTTGCCGTTGATTAGATGTGCGTGCAATGGCCACTGCCAGGCTACTTTGTTTGCGAGGCCATCATTGAGGAGATTGCCGGCAGGCCAGTTGTTGGCAAAACTCAACAGAGTCATTTGTCGTGAACTGGCCAAACGCCCATCGATTGAGCATGAGAGGCTGGAGAAGCCGGTAGAAGAGATCCGAGAAATGAACATGTGTGGCAAAGAGAACGCCGTGACTCCCTGGGGCCAGCCCATGGAGTTTTACAACGTGCCCCGGAAGCGCAGAGCGTCGTAAGCCATGTCTAGTTTGCTTGCGAAAAGAGTGACACGGGCGTGACACGGGCAACTGAGGTAGACTCGATGTGGAAGAAGCTGAAGCAGGCGCAAACGTTGCCCCACGCAGTTGCAATCACTTTGCGTGGTCACACATCGTGTCGAGTGCGTCTTGACCTCGAGCCACGAGCATATCCCACACGCAAACGAACTCGACCTAAGCTGAAGCCGTAGACACTGAAAGAGGTGCAGTGGCAGAGGCGCCACGCTGAATTAATTGCTGGCAATGTTAGGCAACAGGTAGAGCTCTGAAGAGTTATGCGCAGCTCCCACTAGGATATTAGGCGAATACATCACATCATATTCCAATGACCCACGCGAAGTCCATCCGGTACGGCGCCAGCCAGATTCCAAGCGGTCGTTGAGTTTGGCATGTGCATGGCGAACCCTTCTCAGCATGTGTGCTTGCCCCTGTGCATGTCATGTGTGTTTGTTTTGTTTGTTTGTTTGTTTGTTTGTTTGTTTGTTTGTTTGTTTGTTTGTTTTTGTGTTTAAATTTGTCAAGTGCTTGTGTGTGTGTGTGTGAGTGTGTGTGTGTGTGTCTGTGCGTGTCTGAAAGGCAGACTGCATTTGCACCGAGATGTTTCGCAGGACGCGAAATTCCAAGAGCGGGAGGCAGCCTGCAAGGCCTTCAATGAGCAGCACCGATGGCGCAAGCGGGGCATCAGCTGCTCGGGCAAAAGGCATCAAATTGCGGATGAGTTCTGAGATTCCGAAACTGATTCAAGCGATCGAAGGAAATCGGCTTTTACTTTTTTTTTTATCCGATTATCACCTTGGAGTTCGTTCCTTCCAATCGGGGCCGCCTGATTGGAAGCGAGGTGCCGTGCCTTTGGCATATGGCCACAGCTACGCCTATGCTGCGGGCACCGGCGCACTGGTGAACGTTCACGGTGCCTAGTCGGAAGCTGCGTGTTCTCAGTTTAGTTTAGACTTTGGGTCAAACGATCAAACATCTCTTGTCAAGAAAGGCATGCCTCTCCAATCGCACTCGGAGTCGAGTTCGATGGGCATTTGGAGCATGTCGTGTGGAGTGCAGGCTCCGACGGCTCCGTCACAGTGCATCACGGTGGCTGCGAGATTGGTCAAGGACCCGCTTATTCCAGAAAAGGGAATTCTGGATAGTCGTATTGTGGAGCTTAGAGCAGGTGAGTTGATCTAATCGCACTCTCCATGGGCTTAAGTCCCCCGGCAAATATAAGAATATGTCCAATAGTGATAGATCCCCTTGAAAACCAACAGCTGTTTTTTGGGTTAAACACGTTTCTTAAGCAAATGGAAGACAAGGGAACCCCTAAAACACCTACATGGGAGAGCTGGGAGTCGAGCCCGTCCGTTTCGCGCCAGGAATCCACACCAAAGTGGCGCAGGTGGTGGCCATGTCGTTGGGCTGCCCACTGGACCTTGTCCGTGTTGCGGATACCAACACTGAGGCTGGACTCCGGAGCCTTTGGGTCCTTACCCCGTTGATCTTTTCGTGGGCATGTAAATGATTCTAATGTCAACGCCGAATTATTCAAGTCATGGTATTAAACCGGCCCCACAAGGCCCCCCCATATATTTGAAGATCTGGAAGTCGCACGCGTTTTCCGTTCAACCCAAAAAACAAATATGTATTGAACCGGACTTCATAAGAAACGCAGAACATCCGGCAGTCCCACCCCAAATAAAAGGTTCAACTCCCTAAGATTCCGTAGTGATACAGCTGCTCTCATTTTTTCCATGCTGCTGCATCATCCTGCTCATTTCTTTGAAACGGCAGCTTCATCGCTTGTATTCATCCGCGATGGCTGCACCCAATATCTTGCCTTCCCTTCTCATCCAGTACTCAGTACGCTGTGCATTTGACAGGATCACATGCAAGGCATCCACTCTCATACCTGCATTTGCTGCATGCGCCAACTTCTCTGGATCTTGTGCATGGCTTTCCTGCAATCCTCCAGAAGCTCCAGACAAATATGGTGCCAGGTTTTGTTGGGGCTCGACCTTCTCCAGGGGGGGGTTATTAATCGGGTGTTCCCTTTTCCTTTGGGAAGACGAGCATGGACTTGAGGACCCCTTGGCTATTGGACGAGTCTTAGGTGGTGCCCAACGCGCGGTTCACTGGTGGCTCCATCACCACAGAGGTGGTCTGCGAATCCGCGAGACAGGCACGCGGAACCGCCTGCGGTTGAAGTGTACGGATGCCGATGCGGTTTACATAAGTCACATGCTACTCTTCTCGGGGCTTTACTTAATCCCTTTGGAGCAAAGCGCGGCAATGTTTTCAGCCAACGCTACACAATTGCTTGTTGTGCGGATGCGGTGTTTCCTGTTTCCTGTTTTGAGCCTAGAGCGCGCCATGTGAAACTCAGGAAGTGAAACAGGAGACGTCTTTGTGCCAAAGGCACCTTTTGAGTTTGCTTTCTGGCTGCTTATGGAGTCAAGTGTCCGAGGTCGAGCCTGCCCGGCTGAGGCCTGCAAACAGCTGGTGGAGACGCTCCGACCGCACAAAGAGTTCCTCACCAAGAAAGACGGCAAGGATCCACATTCCGCTTGGCGGGTTGTCCAAATTGTCTGCGTAGGGGTGAATCGTCCCAGAGTGAGCAGAACATAGTTTCTGGAGGTGTGTGTGTGTTAAACGATGTTAAGCGTGCCATTTATCACGTGTGTTTGGAAGCTCGGGGCTCAGCGACTCTCGGAAGCATCTGCGATCAGGCATCTGCCTTTGAGTGCAGTGTGCACAATGCTCAAAGGAAGCCAGGAATCTCAAAGGAATCTCCGGATAGAGATGCATCGTTGGGATGCATCGTTTTTGTTCGGCCTCCGAAAAAGATGGTCTTTGTCCGGGCTGGTTTTTGTTCGACACATCTGCCTTGATCAATATGGCCAGACAGCTCGCATGTCTTAAGCAGCAATGCTTGCTAGCACTCGTGCCACTGCCCCGCGGAACGCCGACAAAGCATGTTTGGCAGCCTGGAGTCAAACTGCCTTCATGTGTCTTCTTCTCGGCAGATGGCTGCGGTTGTCCTTTTGGTTTCCCTTGAAAACAACCAACACTGGGTACCTTCAAAGAAAGACACATCGGTATGGATGCTTTTGGGTCACTTCGCTTTGGCCCAAATCCCGAGCTTTCTGCTGGCTGAGCAGTCCCGGCAGGGTCTAAACCTAGCACTTTACCACCCTTCACGGCCAACAATTCATGACTTAGGGCTCCAAGCTTCCTCGATCAGAGTCGACCAAGCAAGGCACAGTGATGGAATGGCAAACAAAACCTCTTTTGCAACGGCCAGGAATGGGCGGCTCCTTCCCAAACAAGTCAAAACCTCCTTTGGATCACGGCCAAAACGGAGAGTTTGGCTTCCCGAGAAGCCAGGAGCCGGGCTGGCCGGAACTCGTGGCCGCAGCCAACACACTGCTGGGGCACCAGGAGAAACTCTCAGCCACAGGCGATCTAAACCGGTGGGTGGATTTTGGTTGGACTTACTGTATGTCCGTCCTCTGAGATATGGGTATGAATTTTAATAAGGGACCCTTTGGTGGACATCATTTAGGTGGGGATTTCTGTCCACCAATCACTTTTTAGGGGGTTCCCCATTAAAATTCATACTCATATTTGTTAGGGAATGTTGGGGATATTCCAGAATGGTAGTGCTACCAGCCGCTGGGCTGTGTTCTCCATTGTTGAGTTCGCGCTACAATGGAGTTGCGATGACGGCAACTGCGAATTGTTTGCCTGGAGTCATGGCATGTGTTTCAAAGTCGGGATGGCTCGTTTCGCTGTGCTGCTGGCTGTTTGGGGTTGGATGTTCCTCGTTCTTCTTGAATTCGAGTTGACACGCATTCAGTACGAAATAGTACGAACAACAACGCAACTGGTTGTCCGAATTCGACAGCTTCCTTCTTGACATCTTCCGAGCTCGTCATTGGCACGCCTGACATTGCAGGTGTATTTGCGCCTCAGGGAAATCAGCAGCTCGGCGCAAGGGCTTCACGGCCTACAGATTTTGGAACTTGTGAGGTGACTCGAATTCTTACCCTCCCATCTACAAACATGACACCTCACAGGGGGGTAAGTCTTGGAAGACAACTTGCTTTAAAAGGGACCCCCTGGTGAGTGGACCGGAGAGTAATCGTTTAAATACCCTGCATCGGACTGATTGGCAACTTGGGAGTCACACCCATGCTCACGATCCCTTTAACCAGGATGATGCTGTTGCCTTTGCAAGGATCCCTGGCAGAACCATGCTTCCCCATAAACGAAGCGCTTGCGAAACGCAACTGTCCTAGTTGCAGGCAAAGAGTCCTCGAGACTGTCGGGAAGACACTTTGTTGGATTTAGATTCTTCGGATGCTCATTTGGCTGGCACCTGATTAATAGGGTCGTAGGTCGCTAGTTCTGCACGAGGTGTTCGTTTGATCGTTGCGCGACTAGCGCATCTTCCAGGTACGCTACGGATTTGGAGGGCAATGCGTTGGGCAAGTACCATGGAGATTACTTCACATATGGCGCAGGTGGGTTTTCTGATTGCCGGTGCCCGGATTTGCCAATTTGCCAAGGTTTGGGGGGTCCCCTGAGATTCGGTTGGTGATTTCTTGGCAGTTGGTCCCAGACGGCCAGTCGCATTCGTGGCCCGTGCAACGCGCAAATCTGTCAGGCATCTCAGAAGTGGAGCTGGACGTGCTCACAGGGGAAATCAGGAGCTTTTGAAGTGCACGGTTGCGAATCGTACTGCATCGAGGTCGTGTTGCATCCTTATGGTTTCTTCTGAGGGCGTTGCGCTCAGACATCCTCTACGACGTTGGGCAGTCCATCAATCCTGGCATTGACCTGGGCCAACTGGAGGGAGCCTTTGTCTATGGCACCTGGGCAGAGTTGCAGCAACTTTGGGCGATCCAAACTTACCGAAATGGGCGGCTCGTCCTTTTTTGGAGTCGGTCCCCCTGCTTTGCTGTTTGGTTTAAAGGGAAGCCGAAAAGGAAAACCGACCTTGCGGTCTGAAACCAAGACCCAAACCTAGGCATCGGGTACTACCTCTACGAGGAGCCCCTGCGCGATGCCCGCGGCGTTGAGCGCTCCCAGGGCGTTTGGGCCTACAAGCCACCAATGGCCGCGGAGGTGCCTGTGGAGCCGCCTGGCAAGGGAGCTTTCAGCTCGGCTGGCCCGGGTTTCATTTTTTGTACGGTTGGAGCATAGGCAGCATCCCAAGGGTGTCTTAAAACCCCTTTCCGTTTGTTTGGCTTTGGGGGCTCCTGTGTGGAGAATGCCAGCCAGGAGGTCTTAGAGTCAGAGTCGCGTGTGATGGCGCATGAGGTTTAACGTCGAGCTGCTTCGCGACAACCCTTTCCCAAAGGGTGTGCTGGGCTCGAAAGCCATCGGAGAGCCTCCTTTCATGAATCTTGGATGCACAATTCTCGCTCAACGGCAAGAGACACCCGCAGTGAGAAAGTTTTCCTCATAATCATGTTGCTCAGATTCGATGTGCATTTGTCACATTCACCAGCTTACTTGTAGCATGCATTGCAAACTTGAGGCTGGCCTACAGTGTGCTCGGAGCCGCAAAGAAGGCCGGGGATGTTCCGGCAATCCCAGTTACACATATCTCAGGGTCTGCTTTTGGATTGGTTGAAATGGATTGAAATGGGATACAATTGGGAAAGCGGAAATCGGTTTTGGAGACATCTCAAAGTCCATGCGAGCAGTGGGAGTGTCTGCACGAGCGGGTTCCTCTTTACAAATTGCGCTGGGATATTCACCTTTAGTCTTCGGCAGTTGCTTTCAGGCACAATTCCCTCTCCCACTGGATTCAAGAATCCGATGCCAGCACGTCACCAATGGATGGCAAGGCTGCAACTGTGTGTGACGGGCTCCTGACACGGGATCTCAAACAAGCCTTTCAATCCTACATGCAAACTGACCATTACCCAAGAAGTTTCCCTAACCTGTCTGCCTGGACCCCCAAAATAGCCTCAATGGGTTATAGCACCAACATATTTTTGTGAATTTCCGCTTTTGGGGCAGTTTGAGGGTTTCTGTCTATAGTTTTTGGCTCCATGAGACACAAACCAGTCGCTCGATCCGAAGCTGCTTTTTGAGCTGACCATTGGAGGCCATCGCGTCTGTGCGGCATCAGCACGGTCTCAGCGAGCACTTCCAGATGCCCATGCCCTGCACGGTGGATGCCATCCAGAAGGCGACGTCTCTCAATTGACAAAAAGCCTCAAAACCAGGGCTGTAAATCATCAGAAGCCACTGTCAAAGCATGTTGCACCCACTGACTTTTGAGGTTCACATGTTTTCATAAGCTCTTTTGCCAGGCTTGCGGAGTTGAAGCAAAGCATTTTGATTGCTCGGTTTAGGCACAGCGCGTGCTTCAGTTTCAAGGGCAAAAGCTCCTTCGGCCAAGTGCGCTGGGCGCATTTGTGTTTTATACCTCTCCAGTAGAGAGCTTCAGAGTACAGAGCGTGGATCGCAAGCTGTCACATTGCAGGCTTCCCTGTGAGCCAGTTTTGTGAGAGAACATGCGTGCAACGAACGCTTGGGATCACGCCCCGTAGGCAGAGAGATGACTAGGCGATTTGCGCGAAATCTCCTTTAAAAGTGGAAGGCATGCTTGGGCATGCTGAATTCTGAAAGACTGCCGCTCGCAAGCAACTTTGAGGCGATGACCGTGCAGAGACCCCGGCAGGATTGGTCGGATTTCTGCGAACGTTCAGCTGCAACCGCAGTTCGCTTGATGGTCTCTGCGCGCCGCAGCGAGGATTTGCGCAACACATGCTGAGGACTTGGCAATGTTCCCCTTGCATTTGGCCAGTGCCACTGAAATTCAACAGCTTTTGTTAGCCACGCAGCACGCAATAAGATGGACTCTTTTTGTTTGACGTGGACATCCATTTCAGATGCAATATATCATGCTTGCCTGAAGCCATGCAGTTGGTGCGAGCTGCTAGCAGGCTAGAGCTGAACATCTGAGTCGACGGACTGCAAACGGGAGTCCCCCAAAAGAGACAGTCCAAAAAACCGGGCCACCTTCCAGGCGTGCTGCTCAGGGAGTTTTTGTCCCTGGCCATTCTTCTCCTGCAGTTGTTCGCTTTTGCCAAGATTGTTTCCTCGATGGCAGAAACGGTTTGTGACATGAAGGGCATGTCGGTGTGCTGGGGAATAGCAATAGCAGTGTTCAGTGTTGCAAAGACTACTGCCAGAAATGTCCCCAGGTCAATTTAAGCCGCAACATCAATTCTTTCCATTCTTGGAATGCGATGTCTTTTCTCACTGAGGTGTTATCCAGAGAGTGCAGGGTCAACCATATGCGTGTTCGATCATTTGGGTATTCCATCCCGTTCATCGTCCGCAGTCGTTTAGCTTGCTTGCCCGGCTATTTTCCCGCGTGGTGTCCAACAAGTCGATCTCCTTGACCACGCATTTCAGCGCCGACATGCTTCATTCCCGGCACGCGCATCTTCTCCACATTGCCGTTTCAAAGGAATGCCCAAAAGGATGCATAATTTAGGAGGTCCAAGTTGCCTGGAAGCGGCAAGCAAGTGTATAATGAGGATTGTGCTTGACAGATCCAGAGCAAGTCGTCAAGCTTCCTAGCCGGGGGTTCAAAGCGCCGTGGCAGCCGGTAATTGTGATTTGACCGGCGCAAGTCAGCCTTCATGGTTGTGCTCGGTGTCCGATGTGTCAAAGGAGAATCTGCCAAGCGCCCTTTGAGCAAAGCGTCTTTGAGCAAAGCGTCTCAAAGCCTCCGTTGCGTCACTTGCCCATCATTGCCTACCGTCCCGTTTCAGCAAAAGCACAAGGGCCCTTGTGTCATTCGGGGAGCGCGATACGGCCAGGCCATTGCGCCACGCAGGCGGGCTGTGTGTCTCTTGTGCGGCAAGCGGGCGGGTTCTTTGGTAACCGAGGCGAACGCTTGCCGCAGGACCCGGACCTGGTTGCCTTGAATTCTTTTCGACGCCCCGGAGCTGCCAGGCGAGAAGACGCTTTTCCGACTTTATCACAGCCAAGGATGAAGGCGTGGTATTGCAATTTTGTTGGGAAGCTAGCCGAGTGTCTTGCAATGCGCATCAAGCTGTTCGGCTCTGTTTGCCCCGTGTTCAATGCCGCAGCTCCGAAGAAAGCAAAGGCATCTTGGCCGGAAGGGCTGGTTGATCGAGAGGTTCAATCTAATGCATTGCTTCACGCCGTTTCAAGGATAATTTCAGGCCAAAGCGGGGGCTTGCGGTTGCAAGCAGCTGACCTAGCCCATGCCCAACATGCAGTCAGCCAAGTTATGAGTTAGCTTTACAATTGCCATCTTTAACTTTATGTAGGCGTGTTTCATGTACGTATCGTGTTTGTCTCGAAAAAGGCAATACGGGACGTCCAAATAAAGAATACCCCCCCAAACCTGCAAGAACATGAACAACGATACGGGACGCCCTCACGTGAGAGTGAGTACACCCCAGACAAGTACTTTTGTCGCTGCCTCACAATGTCAGGCAGCGACCAAATTACTTCTGTTGAGTTTAGTACTTGGTGTTTCACTGATGGAAACGCTGGAAAACGGTAGGGCCTTCCCGGTAGGGGACTCTCAAACTAAGGAGCGAAACGGCCGTAAGCAAGTAATTTCGACCGTGCCTATGTCCATCAGCGTTAGACGAATCCGATCTGACCGATTCTTACGTGCACTCTTGAGATAGGCCACGGACTACGCCTGGCCTTTGCTGCAGCCTGCCTGCCACACCCGGAGAAGGCTGCTGCCCATGCCTTCACACGGGTATGGGTCACAATTGAACCCAGGCTTTATTTCAAGCTTCCATTTACTAGGGTTCCATTTTGGGTACATTTTGGGTATGCTTCACAGCCGCTCATATTGCAAAGTTTGTTCAGGTGGAGAAGGGTGGCGAAGATGGATACTTTGTCTCGTCCCCAGTCAGGCAGCAAGAGGCCACGAGTGGAGAGCTTCGCCTAGGCAGATCCTACAACGCGTGCCTTCGGGGTGGCGGATGGCGTCGGCGGCTGGGCTGACAACGGTCCGGACGCCCAACCGACGGCATTTGCGAGGAAATTGAACCTCAAGCTTCCCATCAAGATTGGGAGTTCACTCACAATGTTGAGGCAATCTCCAATTTAAGGGTGTCTTCTGGGCTTGCAAGTAGCCATTCACAAGAGACTGAGGTGTAGATCCCGGGCTGTTTGCTCGGCGTCTTCTCCATCTCTGCCTGGAGGCGTGAATCTGGGGTCCCGTTGGGGTGTCGGGGATGGCGATGTAAATGTGCAGGGCATCAGGGCGGAGGAGAGCGACCTCCAAGAGGCGAGCGGTCAGCTTTGGGTCCTGATATCGCCTTGGCCTTGAGGCACAAAACTCATATTGCGTCCAACAAGTTCCCGATGTGAAGCCTTTCTGGTCAAGACTCAAGTTTCACGTGGCGGCTTCCCATGACCCAAGTCCCGGTACCACTGTTCCGACTCGCGCGGGCCTTGCGCGAGGCGCTTCTCAAGGCCAGCCAGCGGATCTTGCAGGAGAAGCTCGAGGGCGGCTCCACCGCGCGGCGCCCAAAGTGAATCGAAGCCTTGGCCATGGAAACGGAAGCTGATCCGCTTGGAAGGTGAGCTCGCAAAAAGTATGTTCAATGTCTGACTGCTGCTAAAGTTGCAAGTCGGGGCCCGTCTGAACAGAAAACGGGATGGCGCAAGGTTCGCGCAGAACCTGCTGAGTTTTGGTAGCTCTTGGCACTTGAGGCTTTGCTGGGGCAGCTGAATGGTACAACTATGGGCATCCTGAACTTAGGTGACTCAGGCCGCGGTTTTACTCACATTGCAGTCAGGATTTGTTCCACAGAGTTACGCAGCCTTTGGTGATCATCGAAAAGAAGAGATTGAGGCAACTATGCAGGCTGTTTCTGGTGTTGACACGCATACCAGATATTGGAGATCTTGAGAGGCGCGATGCTGCTGAGACCAGCTCTGCGCACCCCCCCGGGCTCCGACCAACCACTGCTCTTTCCGCGGGTGGTGTTCAGGCCGGGCCTTTAGTTTTTCTTGGCAAAGTGGGGCGAAAGTGCTCGCCAGGTCCAGCGATCAGACGCATTACTTCAACTGCCCCTACCAGTTGGGCAGTGGCAATGCCCCGGTGGAGGCCTTTTGAGAACTATGAGTCGCGGGTTATTTCTAGCCACGCAAGATTCGTGCAGGCGCCGGACTTCATCCGTATTCGAGTCCGAACTGGAGATTTGGTGCCAGCCTGAGGGCGACTTCAAGATGGAGAGACCAAATGAATTGCCGGTGAAAATCGGCGAAATGTCAGGTAGTTGCAGCTACAGATGGAGTCTTTGACAACTTATTTGATCATCAGGCGCCAATTTGAGATTTGAGTGACTGCTCAGGGGCTGTGCCACGGTAATCTCCTGTCTGCATCCGGAAAGCGGTCCCACTCGTCAACAGGTTTGAAAATCAGATGCTGCCAGGAGCAAAACCAAGATATAGCTGCACATGCAGCAATGTACTGAGATTGGAGCTAATTGCAATCATTAGAGCAGCAGAGTCGTGCGGCGTTTCTGGCATTTGTATCCCTGGATCACTTTTGCCAGAAACTGTGAGGACTGCGGTGAGCGGTGCAGCGGTATCCTTTGGATCGATACGTCGCATGTGCCAGGTGCAGGCCATCGTTGCACAACAGCTGGGTAAGGCCTGGAGCAAAGGAGCACCAGTCCGGGCGCCAATCAACTCGCGCCAGGACGTCGCTGTAAAATAAAAACCTGCCCACCAACAGCACACACAAGGAAAAAAAAAAAAAAAAACATCAACGAGAAGCAGACAACAGCACACAGCTTGTTTGGCCCACAAAACCAAGCAATGCCGTGCCCTGTTCACTGTCGCTGTTTCCAAGGTCTTCTCAACTTGTTGCTGACCTTAGGCCTGGAAGCAACAAAATGGGCACCGCGTACACACTTCCGCCTGACTTAACAACAGCAAGTGTGAGCGTGTGGTGGATTTTCCTTTGCATCAACTCGGGCAACTGGCAGCTAGTTCCTGCGCACTTCAGCCCTGCCTTAACTCCGATATCAGACAGGTTCTCTCTGTATCTCAAGAACTGCCACCGCACTTTGCGAATTGACATTGGCCCCCTCTCGCGTCCTGGGCAATTTGTTTCAGCAGCTCGCTTTTGTTGGGCCTGGATTCCTTCGTCTCCAGCTTTGGTTAGCGCGTCTTCTTCAACTCCCGAACCCGCTCCAGGAGGAACAGGTTCGATTTCCGTCCTCTGCCATCAGCCCAGTTTACAATGTCTACTCTGGTGTAAGACGCTGCTGCTCGAGCTCGCTCGTCACAGCGAATCCGCTGCCGTGTTTCTTGCCACGCCCATAATATGCCCTCAGCGGCACTTGCTTAGAAGGCTTCAAGCTGCACATGGCTCGTGATCTAAACCTCAACATCCAGGCCAGAAACTTTAGAGCCTTTGGCTCAGTCCGCCGACATTGCACCCTCCGCTTCCTGTCCCCTGCATGTCCTTGCATTTCCCTGCACTTCACCGTGTGATTTCCCCTTCATGTCCCCTGCATTGTCCCTGCAATTCTCTTGCATTTCCGTCCCCTTCTTCCAATCATTTCCCGTACGTCTCCCTTTGTTTCCGTTCAGTTCCCCTTGACTGTCTTTCATTTCCCTTCGTTTCCCCTTCATGTCTTGTTCCTGTCCCCTGCATTTCGCTTTCAGTTCCCCGTCGTGTCCCTTGCAGTTCCCTCTGATATCCTGTCTTTTCCGCTTCCTGTCCCCTGCATGTCCTTGCATTTCCCTGCACTACACCGTTTGATCCTCTTCATGTCCCCTTTATGTCCCCTTTATTGCCACTGCATTTCCCTTGCATCTCGATTGAAGGTCCCCGCATTTCTTTGTCCTTTTCCCCAGCATTTCGCATGCATTTCCCTTCATTTCCAGGCATTTCCCTCCTACATCTCCCTTCGTTTCGCTTAATTTCCCCTTCAATTTCATGTCCCTTCCTTTCCCCTTCATTTATGTTTCTAGAAACTACGGCCCACCAATTGAATATGTACGACATCGCTTTAAAATCAGTGAAGGACAATATGGAAGATATAAACAGATACTGTGGATGGACAAATCCTGCACCAGTTCGAAACCATGGGAAGCCCATTGTTTGTTGGTATGTACAGGGGAATCATCATTCCAGGGTTTATTAGGTGGTGCAGGATTTCGTCCATCCACAGTATTATGGAGTTGTGCTTACACAAATACAATAACATGCTATAGAATATGTAAAATACTATATCAGAGAGAACAACATGAGTTTAAAATATACTCACAAATATATGACCATCTTCATTGATGTAATATTGGAATATAAAAAGGAACACAATAATATTATAAAACTAAATTATTATCCTGAAATTAGATTAATGTAAATCATAGTTTTAATGATATTAATTGTTAAGACTATGACTAAAACCAAAGCAACTACACTGAAAAGCACCTAAAGGAATAATTATCAAACACAACATTGAGAACCAGTCTAGGAAGAATCATATAGCTAGGAACACATGATAGGTAGTTATGGTAGATGAAACATGTTGTAGATATTGTAGGACGCATAAAAGCAAAGATGGATTTGAAGAAGACTATTTGCATTGCAACGGGACAACTATCAACAACAAAAAATAAAAGTACAAAGTGGAGCAAATAATAAGATATGAATAAGACGATCAATATAGAAGAAACTAAACAGGAACGGTCTAATGAAAGAAGAACAAAGAAGCATCGAAGAAACTTAGGAACTGTAGTATTTGAAATTATTTCATGATACAATTTCATGAGCATTATTTAATACAATCATTATATATATTTTTATTTCATCAAACTACGTATTACCTTTTTTTTGCCTCCCCCCCCCCCCAAAGAAAAAGAAAACTGCGTAATCGGGATTAGGAGGGGGGTTATCCTCTATCCTCTCTTAGGTAATCCGACACGCCGAACAATGTCGGCGGACTTCTGCACCTTCCTAGCGTCCGCATTTGCAAATCCTGCACGGTTTCTGCTCACCCCCTTCCAGTTACTTCTAAAGCCGCCCTGCCCTCAGCCTGGAGGACTGGTTGCTCAGCACTGCCACCTGCAAGCCCAGTGATTGTTCCCGCTACCGCATGCCCTGTAGCAATAAATGCTACACAGCGCACAACCACCCAAACACACAAACACACAAACACACCCACACAGACATACACAAGCAACCGCAAATATTAAGACGGGCACCTAAACCATCAACATCACTCACATGCACTGTGCACACAGACCAAGACACATAAGGACACACACACACACACAAATCCGCAACAAACAGACACAGACACACGCTCACAGGGACAAGCACGCATATACAGACCGCACACAGACACACAACGACCAACAGACACGCACGCCCAGACACACACAACACCACAGACACACAGACACACACACACACTCACAGAGGCAAGCAATATACTGTAGCATACCGTAGCATAGCATAGCACAACACACACACACACTGATAGACAGTCAGGCAAGCAAGCAAGGAAACAAGCACGTAAGCAAACAACAAGCCAGCAAGCACACAAACAAGCAAGCAATCGAACAGGCCAACAAGCAGTGAAACACACAAGCGCGCCATTTGCGAACGGAGGAATGAACGAACTGACTGACTTAGTAACATACAGACAAACACTGCACATAGCTGTGTGTGTGTGTGTGTGTGCGTGTGCGTGTGTGTGTGTGTGTGTGTGTTTAACTGTGTCAAACCCTGCAGATTTATCTTGCAATCAGACAAGAGTCGACTTGCCGAATGAGGTCGCACCGCACTTGAACGGCCTGGCCACCAGCATTGCCAAGCAGGCCAGTCCGAAAGCTGCCAAAACCTAGCAGCCTCGGGCTTGCAAAATCTGTGAGCCCTCAAGGCTAGGGCGTGAAAAGCACAGGACAATGCGTTTAAATGGTTTTAGCCTGGGCGGCTGCCAGAGGAACTATTCTGAAGCGCAGTGATCCGAAGAACTTGATGGGCATGGCCACACAATTGGGCTTGGAGTTCTTTGCCCCAACAACTAGCGTCAAGAAGAAGTCGAGGTGTAGACTGAGGTGAATATTTTTTTTTGCGCCACGTTTACTGCAATAGGCTCAAAGAATCGGACAGCAAGAGGACCACAAGGCTGGGTCAGCCGGCTCGAAACCTTAGCAAGCTCTTGCGGGATTAGTGTGGGACGAACGTGTGTCGGGGCCAGTCGCCCGAAATGCCAGACGATATCCGGCGCCCGCAGGACATCATCACACCCTTTGCCTTGGCTGCCCATTCGGAGGGTCTCTCCTTTCGAGGTGTGCGTGCTTGCAAGGCTGTTGTGCTCTTGACAAATTCTGGACATTCTGGAATGTGCTGTGCGGGACAATTTTGGAGACTGCCCAAGATGCTGTTGCTTGCGTCTTGTCCAGCTTGACAGTTAAGCGCATGGGTGCACAGCCGCGCTCGAATTGCAGGTGGCAAGCTGGATGACACCACAGTGGTCGTCGGACTGGCCTTGTCCTCAACTCCATGGGTTCAACAGCTGCTCCTTTTCGTTAGAGGGGTCCCTCAGGGTGTCATGTACGACGCAGATACTAAACAGTTGCAATCTTGGAGCTGGAGCTGCCAAAGTGTACTTTGTGTCCTACACTTGAGTTGCGATTGTGGAAGCAGCCTTGGCAGCCGGGAAAAACAAAGGGCAAGGTAAGAAAAAGGCAAGACTTGATGGCTGACAAAAGTGATATGATGACACAAAGAAAAACGATCATGCGCTTCGCAGATGTTAGCCTTCGCACGCCCTGTCCCGCATCCTCGCGCTTTTCATTGCAATGGCAAAGATCGTGGAGCTGGAGCTGTCAAAGTGCAAATCGTGTGCTATGCTCGCACTGAAAGTTGAGGCTTTCAAAGCTGGAGCTGCTACAGTCTACTTCGCGCTGCGCTTGCGCTGAAGTTTCCGGGCAAGCAAAACGAAACTGGGTTTTTAAACCACCCAATTTGAAAGGGCAGGAGCGTCGAGACGACGCCTGACCAGGACAAGCCTTTCTCAAGCCGGCAAGTACTCTTCTTCCTCGCATGCACATTCACAAAGGTTCCTGCCAGTTTCTTCTGACAACAGGAGTCGATCAAACCAGAAATGCCCTGGGCAGCGCACGGGCCCAACAGAGTCTTGGTGCCTGCACTGACAACCAAAGACTGGCGTTCCATGCCTCACTGTCAGCATAGCATCGCTATACTGAGCTCGCTCACGCAACCGCCGGCCTTTCAGTGGCTCCGGCGCTATGTTCTTGGACTCAGCCCGAGTCGAATTAGAGTGCAAGTGATTGGGCAGGCTCGTTGCAGGCTGCCTCACCAGCCTACGCCAAGCCCACCCTACCGCCAGTCATCACGCAGGGGACGATTTCGCGCCAGCAGATTTCAGCTTCGCGGGCTGCAACTTATGCAACCGGAAAGTGCGGTTTGATTCAAACCTGTTGTCAGAGTAAAACCCTTTGGCGGCCATCGCTCTTCCTGCCACACATGCCACAAACCACAGGAGTGCGGCAGCTTTTTGGGGCTGGGCTCGTATTGCTGTTGCTTTGGTCCAGTCCATGACATTGGCAAGACAACTTGATTTGATGGAAGCCCGGCCTCTAAGGCTTTGGTCTGACGGAAAAAAGGTCCTTTCTTCTTTTTGTTGTGTTTTTCTTTTGCCAGATATGGCCGCTTCAGCTGCTGCCAGGTGTGCTTGTTAAAGTGGCTTGGCTTTCTGTGGTGTGTTTGAGTGTTGAGCCCCGCTCAGGTGTGCAATGATCTTGGGTCAGAAGGCAAGTGATGGCTGTTTGCGACATGCTGCGTTGCGGAGTGATGGATGGTGAGAGTAGGAGAGAGCTAGCAAACCTCCCAAGATTCCACCATGTGCAATTTGATGTATGACTCAGAGCAACCCAGTGTCCTGTCCAGCTCTTCCACAATTGCGTCAAGCTGAAGCGATCCATAGCTGACCCGAAGGCGATCAGTTGCTCCAGAACTGGTGAGAAGGCGACGACATTGAGCTCTTAGGACTCCATGCGCAGAATCTGTCGGACAGCGCTGGACCGTGAGTCTGAGACGTTAAGTCGAAGTCTGAAATGCGCGCTCGCTGCCAATATGCTTGACTCGTTGTGCCACTTGTGAGGGACTGAGGTCAGAGCCCACATGACATTACTCGCATAACAAGTTGAGATGGTGCGCTGTGGGCATTCAAGATGGCAGGCTGCAGCTTTCCTAGCATCTTGGGTTTGCTTGACAAACTTTAATTTGCCGCTAAATGATCGTATGCGTCAGAATGGCATGGTCCGTGATTGTCCTGCACCTTGCACCCCTTTAGCAGCGCACAGCTTGATCTCACACACTTATTTGGCAAGCAAGCCACTGATGTTCACGCGCCCTGCAAGTTGTTGAGCCCGGCCATGTTGCCCGTGGCCTGGTGGAATGGAGGAGGTCACGGTGGAGGTCAAAGTGCAGGCGGGTCATGAGAAGACTTGGTTGTCACCTGCCGCTCATGTTTGGTAGTCAAGCATGGGGTGGATGAAGGCTAGTCAGTCTCAATGGCTGCCCTTTTCACAAGCACAGGGTGTCTGGGGTCAATTGACCGTTTGCAGGAGTTCACACCTGGGAAGAGAGATCGTGAAGAGGAGCCAGGCACGAGCAACAAAACTTTGACCATTCCTGCCATTTGAAAGCAGACGCCTATGCAAGCATCAACATCGCATCTGCCCAATTTCAACAGCTCTTTTGCGCGGTAACCTACCACTTGACAGTATCAATTCCAGACCAATCCAAGTGAGAAATGCAATGGACGCTAGACCGTCACTTGTAGTTTCACACCTGTTGAGGTTTGAGTCGCTCAGCGTCTCTTGGCAGCTCTTTGTTTTGGTCTTCATTCAACCTTGCAAAATTGTTAGAACATGACGTAAGTTCTTCCCCCACTAAGTAGCGGCACGGCCAAGTTTGTGCGGAGCTTGTAAGACCAAAGCATGCTGCGGCTTCCCGTTGCAATGTCGGATAGAAAGGGAGGCTTCCCTCCCGCGGCAACTGGAATCACTGGGCTAGGCTTGGATATCGCTGCTTACACGCCGCTGCCACGGCCACAGCCGCCCCCAGAGGCAGGACCGTGGCTATGGCTAGCCAGCATCTTTGACTCCGAATAAAGCGCTTTCCCAAGTCAGATTTGTGTTCATGTTGGGTACCAGAAAAAGAGATAGAGTGAGGGAGGCAAGGGAGAGAGGCTACAAGGTTTTACCTTGTTGATTTGGCATTATGGGCAATCCCTTTCTTCAGCAAAAGAGAGGCCGTGTTCACGCACATTCTGGTATGTGTTGGAGTCTCTCCTGTCGCACTTATTCTGGACTAGCGCCAAGCGCCAGTCAGCTGCCCAACATGTTCATTGCAAATCTTGTTCTCGAGAGACGCAGTTTGGTCAAATAATGTAAATTCTTCATTTTCGGCAAGAAAGTTAGTACCACTTTGGACGCTGGATGTTTAGGCAGTCATCCTTACCTCACATGATTCATGCGGGCCTTTTGCAAGTCACCCAAAGGCATTCAAGATTGGCCAACCTGAAGAAAAGCCATTGATGCCTTGCGCTGCGAGGCACTGGAGCACTTGCAGCTTGGCTGAATTTGGTTGGCTGCACATGTGGCAGTGTTGCAAGCGATTCGGCGATTCCTCGCGGAGGAATCTGGTCACAGCGGAGATTGCGCCTTTGCGCGTGTTGCTGTGCGGCGACCTTTATGGGCGACTAGACCTGCTGCACATGAAGCTGCTTGAACTGAGGCCGGGGAAGGCTGCACGTTTCAGGGTGATTTGAAGTTTTCAGTGAGTTTGCAGGGGGGAAGTGGACTTCGTCCTGGCCGTTGGCCGCTTTTTCCCGCCCAACCCCACGTGCAGCCGCATCAGCGAGTATGTGGGCGTGTCGGCGACACGTATTTTGCCCGTGCCGGTCTACTTCATCGACAGCAGCTCGGAGCCTTCGCCGGAACCCATGGAACGATAGACTGACTGTTCAGCACGCGTGTCTCTTGTGCCGAAGGATGATCATTGATCATGTGTGTGTGTGTGTCGCATTCTAGACCCATTTGGGTGTTCTCTTTTTGGAGGGTAACCCCTTTTTGGTTGGTCAAGAAGCAACAGATCTGTGTTGGATTGTTCTGTTTTGAGACAAACGCGTGTTGTTTTTGAGAAGGACTCGCGATATTGTGTGGTCAGAGAGAATGCGGCAAGCTTCACTGAGATGTGTTGGGCTCACAAGGAACCGAGGGAGCCATCATGAGCCACCACCATGGATTTTGACCTGGGCTAATATTGAGATCAGATGCATTCAGCCAAGGAGGTCTTCATCAACAAGTCTGCAGAGCTCAGCAAGCCGATTCTCCTGCAGGAGAATCTGAGCTTCCTGGGCTCCGGCATTTCAGAGCTGCACGGCTTGCGCGTCGCCTTTCTCTCTGGCTGCCCCTTGCCCCGAGAGCCGACACTGGTTGACCGCAGCCGTCGTAGCCACAATCACAACAACACATCGCAAGCAGCTGCAAGCAGTCACAAGCAGTCTCAAGCGCAACACCACCGCAAACACAAGCGCAACACGAGGAAGAGTCACAGATGCAAACCACAAAGATAAGCACGAGCGCACACACTGCATTTCTTGGTGATGACAGTCCGTTGGCACAAGAACACCGTGACAGTGCTCTCAGGATCATGGCTATTTGAACATGTAAGACTGCTGGCCCTTCATATCAACTTTACTGATGCAAAGGACTCGGTTCAAACCACATATCCGTCAATTCGCACAAGCAGGTGCTCAGTCCTGCAATAGACGCTTGCCCTGAAATGGTAGATTCGAATCGCCATTTGAAATTCTTCCTCCGGGAATAATGACATTCATTGATAGGGTCCCGTGGTCCCAAGGTTTCATCTCCCCTTTGCCAGGCACGAGAGCAGTCAATCCGATTTTGCTAAGCAATACAGTAAGGAACTTGAATGAAAGTGACAGGCGCAATCGAAACTTGCAATTTTAACAACTATAGTGTTGCCGCATTTGTGAAAAGGGAAGAGATCAGTCCCTTCTCCAGGCCAGGCCCCTGCTTTGGTTTCCAAGATGAAGAAGGATACATAGCAACACAACATCACCACGTCCCTTCTGACATGTTCTTTGTTTTATTGCAAAAAGGCCAGGCTGTCGGTCAACATTTGCCAGATGCTTGTTTGCTGCTGAGCGCTCAGAATTCCAGGTTACGACCCTGGAGTCTTCAAGCAGCGATGGGGTCGTGGCTGGGCAGAGAGACCTGTCGTGAACCTGCGCTGCTCGTGCCTGCGGCATGCCATGTGTGCGTGTGCGACGGAATAATGAACATCAATGCGTAAAAGCATGGTAAGGCTTGTCAGGATCCGCTGGCTGAGGCGGCTTTTTCTCCGGAGCAAACTACACCTCAGCCGCTGTGGAGAAGTTGGAGATTCAAGCTGCCAGATTCCCGCGAGGCAGCGTGTGAGCTTCGGGGAGTTGATTTACCCTCCAAAAATGGTTGCTGGATTCCTGTTAGTTTCCCTTGAACTCTAAAGCCACACAGGTGGGGTACCCTCAAAAGAAGGACACGCCCAATTCGGAATGGGATGCTTTCTTCAGGCGAGCGGATCGACATGTTGCTGACCTCTGAATGGCCGGACCGAGTTTGGCGCAAGGCCCAAGATGCCATGTTTGGTGTAATAAAGAGTTCTTTTCATTCGTCCATTGGCTTGGTTTGGCGTTGACCATGTCTTACATGTCCCACAAAAGACCAGCGGAAAACACAAATGTGCCCGTGCCCATGACAGGCAAGATATGCGTACTTGGACATGGCTCATGCGGGCAAGACGACTCACATCAGGGTCGCTGCCGAGGTCAGAGCACCAACGGAAGTGGGTGGCAAGCATGGTAGGGAAGCCAAGCTCGGGCCTGTCAGAACCAGGAAGAATGCAGCTTTGACTGGCCATGTCCCAATTGTTCTCTGATGGATCAAGAGGGCTTTGCTGGGCACTGGCGGCTAGAAATGTCGAATGATTTGAATTTGTGTGCTTTCCCCAGCTCTGTCGGATGGCGAGCGCGAGGGAATACCACTCAAGGCCTGTGCTTCGTGCGGTTCTGTCTAACTGCTCAAAGACAGCGGCGCATGTTGTGTGCTGAGGTGCGGCCTGAGTGCACAAGCCCCGCTGTGTCACGGTTGGCGGCAAGACTGGGGCATGCAATTGCATCACAGCCAGGGCATGCGAGTTACGGGTTTCCGAGCATGTCGATGCCTCGTCACCACCTTATTACAGGGGTCCCTCAATTTTTCCCTTTTTTGGACCTCCGAAAGTTGCAAGCTTGTTGGAACCAATTGAGTGTGCCGTGCGGTTTGTGACTGGCGGTGCCACCCCGATCCAGGACTGCGGCCGCGGTACCATGTGTTTGGCCATGCCGATCGCCCTGAGCCCCGGTTTGCGAAGCATCAGAAGCGTCCCGATCAAGCCATGCCCTGTGCGGTTACAGGAAGCGATCCAAGCCGCTCCGGTGTCGTTGTCCCACGGGTTTCTTGACCTCACGGCATCCACGAAACAGAAAAAGGTCCAAGGTCATTGTAAGCTTAGCATTGTTGCAACTGGAATTTCCTCAATCCATGCTGAGAATCCAACGCATGAAGATGCAGAAGATTCGCAGCTGTGAGGCTATGGCATTTGGCACGGCCCCACCGCAGCCTTGGCCCTGGCGCACGTCAGGGAGAGCTCCCAGGCTGGTCTTACGGGGCTTCCCATGGCTTATTCACTCTCCGCGTTTTTTTTTTTTGGTTCTTTGTTTTTTGTGTTTGTTTTGTTCGGAGGGGAACTCGCTTGCCAACATGTACTTGGATATGGGCTAAACTCAGCTTCCACTTGTTGATCAAGAAGCAACGGGAAAGTGAAGCCATTACGTGTGATCCTGCTGGTGAATCAATCCTGCATCAATCTTCCAACAAGGGACACTTCTGTGATCCGCAGGCCTCTTGGTGCCACTTTATGCAGCCCGGGCCCAAGTCAATTATTGCCCCCATTGCGTTGCACATGCGTCGGTGGGCTTGTATGATGGAATTAGCTAACTTGTGCATTTCAGCTCTCAGCCATTGCAAGGGCTGACTTTCGGGTTTGGTTGATGTTTCATGTTGATTTGAACCACAGCTGCGTGAACACAGGGGCAATGTGGGAGAAGACTCACCAAAGGAATCCAAGCAGACACCCAAAATGGGCAACTCCTTAGGGGTGGATAGAGAGGGGCCGCCGGAGTCACCAAGCTGACCCGTGAGTTTGGTCCGCGTTGCTTTGAGTCTGGAGGATTGTGCCCGCCGCGCGGATCTTGGAGAAAGTGGTGGACCTGGATGAGGATGTCGAGGATGTCAAGTTGCCCAGTCCCTTGTCTCGCGGACTCGGACGAACCAAACTGTTCGCCATAAAACCGAAAGGTCGATAGGAGGTGATTCCCTGTTTTCTAGGCACAAGGAAGATCGGCAAGTCGGCATCCCAATTTCCTGAAAAGATGTGAAGATTAAATGAAGGGAAGAAGGAGACTCAGGGGATACCCTTCTTTGCCATCTTGTCCAGGGATCCGAACCTCTTTAGAAAATGACCTTTCCAACAGCTATTGGTTTCTGCCACGCATATTTTTGCAACAACAGAGAATCGGAGAATCAGCCCTTTGAACAAATGTTTGACCAAACACCAACTTGAATTTGGTTTCCCTCCAAAAAAAACGATGGCAAGTTGGAGCCAGATTTGCACTCGGGAGGTCAGTCGAGGAATCTGACCAAGGGCAAGTCGGGTGAAAGTCAGCAGTCAGTTCCAGGCCCCTGAGCCGGATCCGGATTCCGAAAGGCAAAGTGCCGATGAAAAATGCCGCAGGTTTGCACATCCAGGAGTGAGGTGTTCCAAGCTTTGTAGCCGCAAGAGGTCACTTGCAATGGATGATGCGTCCAAGGAAAGCAGAGCCGGACCAAAGACGAGCCTGACTTCGCGATCGATCTGGAAGCATTGCCAATTAAAAGGCGACAAGGTGCGGACATCCAGCCAAGCGCGTGGATTTGTTGCACAGGGCAAGCCAGAGAGACCGAGAGAGAAGGAGGATGTCATGGTTGTTTTGCTACAGAAGCGTTATTGCTAGTTTATATGGCAATTCGTAGCCACGGAATCATGTCGTAGCCATGAAATATGTTCAACAAGAAGGTTGATGCCTTGGAATGCCAAATCCACGGCCGCTCAGTCTTTGATTCTGGAGACGGGGGCTTGGATCAGCGCAAAGTCTGGGCAAGAAGGCTGACTATCACATTGGACACCACTCTGCTGATAGTTTCGCCTTGTTTCTTGATGGCCCCCATTTCTCTTCCTGCAAGCCTACGTGAGTTGCCGCAGGCCCGGCTCAAGGAGTTTCACCCACGCTGTGCTCGTGTTTTTCTGACGGAAGATCCAGAGAAAAGTAAGCTAGAAGATCAGAGTGGTCCCAACACTTATGATAAGATCATTTCGCTTGTTTCGCTCATTCCAGAGTCTATCTCTACCACATCATTTGCACTCGTCGGAGTCCACAGCCACTCGCCCATTAAATGGGAGACGAGGACAAGCGGTTGGTTTCCCGCTCACGGACCTTGATAGATGGACACGTGCAAATTTTGGCAGATAATCCCAGAAATTGCCTCGTCCAACAGTGGATCGCAAGCTGACGGTGGTTCGCAACATAGGACGCCACCTCGGACAACTACTCCGAGGCTGGATAATCCTTTACGGTCGTGTCTCAGGGGTGCCAATTCCCTTAGACATTTGTATGATACCTTTTTTACAAAGCCAAGCTCAGGATGCTTTTCATTTGCAGTGACAGAACATGTTAGGGATCCAGTTTCCGATAGGACCAGCAAAAGCGGATCACATGCGCATTACAAGCTTGGACGTCTCATGCTGCCTTAACCCCACGGATGTAGATGATATTCAATGTTCGAGTCGCGTGAAACTGAATCGAGCTTCAAGTAGCAAGCCAAATGACACGTGCAGAAGTGCTGACTTTGAGCTGTAGCGTTGATCATGTTTCCAATATCTGTAGATCCGGTTATGAGCACCTGGCAATGGCACGCAAGCGCTCAGGATGTGTATGAGGACTTCGAGCCCTGCTCTGAGGACCGACTGATGCCAGACCTTGCAATTACGCCAGGTGCGCTTGAAAGGTATCGTTTTACCCAGTTGAAACACCACTCCAATGCATAACCATCTTAGCCAATGCAAAGAGGCTTGGTGGTCCCAGTGTGAGTGCACATTTTGAGAGACCTCCTGGGTAATTCCTGCAAGGATGCCCGGGCTTATCACCAGGGCAGTCCTAGTGACCGCCTTGGCCTGTGGCCACCCGTTACAACATGTGTGTGCGTGTGGCTTTGCCCTGAAGCAGCTGGGAAGCCGAATGTTCATCCGTGGCTTGAGCTGAACGAGCTCGAACACGTGTGTACACAATCGAGCGACTCCGGGAGGGCGTTGCCGTTTACAAACCTCAGTTGGTCGGCAAGCCACAGTGCTCAAGAGCGGAACGCCTGGCATGACTTCAGTCGTATAACCTAGAGCACAGTTCTTGCTTGGTTGCTTTGCTCCTGCTGTCATTTGCTGTCTCTTGCTCGGGCTTCCTGCGCGTAGGCCCGTTCAGCGATGGCTTCATGCTGTGCTAGCTGTCTACTTCGTGGCTTCTTCCTCCGCTGTTCCCCTGTTTGTCCTTTTGTCTTTTTGATTCGTCTTATCCAGTGTTCTTCTTCTTCTTCATGACGTTTTTCGCGCTTTTCTCATGTCTTCTTCAACTGCGTCTTCTTCCTTTTCCCAGTCTTGCGGCGTTTGGGGGGCCCTCTTCGATTCATGTTGTTGCTCTTGGCCCCTTTGCGGGACGGCTGCCTGCTCTTCTGCCTCTTTGGGACTTTGTCTTCGGCTTCCCATTCTCCACCTCAACTTCACCCTTCGCTTGTTCCTGTTCCTCCGGCACGCCCCATCACCGGTTGTCTTCGTGATCCTCCTGTGCGTGCCGAGTTCCATATTGCTGGAACCAATCGTTTCACACGCAAGTTGGACTAAAGTGGTTCTCTTTGCAGGACGCTGCGTCGAATGACGAGGACTCCCAGCAGGTAGCAGGCCAGTCTGTGCATCTTTCGTAAAACATTGAAATTTGGCTGTCAAGCTGCCATAGCACAGTTTCTTTGTGTTGTGTTTGGAAAGGGAGCCGTTGCAAAACCATACACGGCGCCATCACTGGTTTCCGAGTAGCCAGGTCCTCAAGCGGACACCGAGGGAGCCCGTGCTTCACTTGGGCCTCCGGCGATGCGTATTTGCATTCAGCCAAAGTATCGAAGCCAAATAGCATGGAGGTATTCATTTCCATCATTTTTCCATCATTTTGAGCCTGCTGGCGAGTGTGACAGCCACAGGTCAAATATCTCTAGTTGACTGCCATTTCAGTTGAACGCCCGTGGGTGCTTCTTGCAAGTAGTTCATGGCAAGCAATCAGAGTTCACCAAGATGTGGCCTTCGCTGGCATGGGTGCGCCACAAGAGGCCGAGGACCGCCGACAAACTGGCTGCCATTGCATGCCGCTGGACGCTTTATACAAATGCTTGCGAGGACAGGCCAGAAACAGAAGCTGAAGAGCGCTATAGCAAGGAGCTCAGTGTTTGGGTTCTCTTGCCGAGCATCGCCAAGCAAACACAGATGAGCAGGGAGGAGATCTGGAATACGACGGCAAGGCAACTGTAGGCAATCAGCTTCTAGGCCAAGCACATCACGTCAACGCCAGAGATGCTTTATCCACACCAGCCGCATCCTTCGTTGATCGGCTTGTAGGGGGATCCCAAATAGGAGCCCGTTGGATTGATTCATTCGTGCCGTAGCCAATTTTATGCCCCGCATGCATGACAGGCTGCATCGCAGACCTGAGGTGAAGACGAGCATCCTAGATCAGAGGGCTCAGGTGGCGCTAGGACTGATGATGCGTACAGCAGGGCACCAAGATGGCCTGTTCTTCCACCCTTGGACCCTGCGCGTTGTCCCATGTCCTGTCAAGTAGGCTCGCGACGGCACGTGGATGCTAGTTGCCATAGCAGCGTCACTCAGTAGCTTGTGAGCTTCGACTCGACAGCAGAGGTATGGCCTTCACCAGCATGCCTTCTGGGCTGCAAGAGGCACGCCGGCAACTTGCAATAACATCGACCATAGAGGCAGATTGTGTAAGTGCGAGCGATGCAGTCAGGTTAAGGCAGATCGAATCGGATTGAGTATTCTTGCGGGACATGACAATGCTTACAAGGACAAGACAGAAACAGAAGCCGAAGAGCGCTATAGCAAGGAGCTCAGTGTTTGGGTTCTCTTGCTGAGCATCGCCAAACAGAGAAGAAAGGACCAGGCGAACACACAAACAGATAATGAAAGATAGACAATATTGAATGAATATTAGTAAGTTGTAGATCCTAAGGTGAACAGATGTAAACAGGATAATATGTTACAGAATTAATATGAAAAAGATAACAGACAAGGCATTACACATCCATTACAGAGATGACCTAACCACAGAACGAATGAAGATTACATGATTCCTAATCTATTTCTATTCCTTTCTCTTTTTTTTATTATGCTTGGATTATAAAAATGATGAGCAGGGAGGAGATCTGGAATACGACGGCAAGGCAACTGTAGGCAATCAGCTTCTAGGCCAAGCACATCACGTCAACGCCAGAGATGCTTTATCCACACAAGCCGCATCCTTCGTTGATCGGCTTGTAGGGGGATCCCAAATAGGAGCCCGTTGGATTGATTCATTCGTGCCGTAGCCAATTTTATGCCCCGCATGCATGACAGGCTGAATCGCAGACCTGAGGTGAAGACGAGCATCCTAGATCAGAGCGCTCAGGTGGCGCTAGGACTGATGATGCGTACAGCAGGGCACCAAGATGGCCTGTTCTTCCACCCTTGGACCCTGCGCGTTGTCCCATGTCCTGTCAAGTAGGCAGGCGATGGCACGTGGATGCTAGTTGCCATAGCAGCGTCACTCAGTAGCTTGTGAGCTTAGACTCGACAGCAGAGGTATGGCCTTCACCAGCATGCCCTCTGGGCTGCAAGAGGCACGCCGGCAACTTGCAATAAGATCGACCATAGAGGCAGATTGTGTCAGTGCGAGCGATGCAGTCAGATTAAGGCAGATCGAATCGGATTGAGTAGGCTTGCGGGACATGACAATGCTTACAAGGACAAGACAGAAACAGAAGCCGAAGAGCGCTATAGCAAGGAGCTCAGTGTTTGGGTTCTGTTGCTGAGCATCTCTGCTTGGCAGAAAGGACCAGGCAGACGCACAAACACAGATGAGCAGGGAGGAGATCCGCATGCTTCGCTTATAGATGGGTCTTTGGGTTATCGCCAAAAGCTCTTTGTGGGATGCGGGGCAAGTTGTTTGCAGCAAGAGCTGCTAGCTGTTTTGTGACGAATACATAAATACAATGGCATGTTCATGTTCTCTATGCCTGTTTCTGCCTTGTTGCTAGTATGTAAGCATTGTACAAAGGATGCGCCTTGTTGTCCCAGTGAGGTGACGACGAATACGAGGAGGAGGACAGGCTGCGGCTTACAAGCACTTGCCATGTATTTGAGGTGCAGCCCGGTTTTTGCCATCGATTGCCATTGTGTCAGATCGGGATTGATCAAGTCAGATTGAAGTCATGACAGTGCAAGGACAGGCAAGACATAGAAGCCGAAGAGCGCTACAGCAGTGAGCCCAGTACTGCATTGTTTCGGGTTTGCGTGGCACGTATCAGTCAGCAACAAAGGGCAGACTAGGCGGGCACACAAATATAGCTTAGCAGTTTGTCAGCGAGACCTTGCGCAAGCCAGTCACCACCCTTCTGTCGCGACTGTGGATACACGTCCTTTGGATTTTGCTGGCTCCCCCCAGAAAAGCGCGCCGTCTCAAAAATTGAGAAGGCACTGTGACCTGGGAAAACCACGTCCCCAAGAATGAGGTACCTCTCACTCAAGTTGGGCACCGTGCTTTCCCACGGCCATCGTGCCCTTTCAATTGTCCGGTGTGTTTTTTTTCTTTCAGAAAGCATGGTAATGGTCCAGACCCTCGATTCTGAGAAAGCGGCGTGGGTTCGGGAATACAATTTGCCCTTGTTCTCCAAGGCCCGGTGCGTGCTTTGCTTATACCTTTGCCACCATTGGCAGTCGTGAAATTGCATGTCCAGAAATCGAGAACGTTGCTGGGGTTCTGTGGCGGGGTTCGGGGTGTAACCGCGCATTGGGAGCGCATGTCACAATGTCCATGGCAACTGGAGTGCATGGGATCCTGATTCTGATGCAGCTTTGACGTGACTCGCCAAACCTCTTAGGCGTTGCAAGGGCCATGAAGTGGGGACTCCAACTCAAGACTTTGCTTGGACATGAAAAAGGATGGGAGCCATGAAGGACGCTCCCGGCCAATCCCGGCCACTTTGCAGAGTTGTGCGTTTGCTGTCCCAGTGAGGTGATGACGAATACGAGGAGGAGGACAGGCTGCAGCTTACAAGCACTCGCCATGTATTTGAGGTGCAGCCCGGTTTTTGCCATCGATTGCCCTTGTGTCAGATTGAGATTGATCAAGTCAGATTGAAGTCATGACAGTGCAAGGACAGGCAAGACATAGAAGCCGAAGAGCGCTACAGCAGCGAGCCCAGTACTGCATTGTTTCGGGTTTGCATGGCACGTATCAGTCAGCAACAAAGGGCAGACTAGGCGCGCGCACAAATATAGCTTAACAGTCACACAAAGCCCTGCAGAACCAAACCACCCTTCTGAGACTGCGGCGCTTTCGGGCATATATCCATATTCGCCCTTGGACAAAGACACATTCTCCGCGTCCCTTCACGTGCTTTGCTTATACCTTTGCCACCATTGGCAGTCGTGCAATTGCATGTCCAGCAATCGAGACCGTTGCTGGGGTTCTGTGGCGGGGTTCGGGGTGTAACCGCGCATTGGGAGCGCATGTCACAATGTCCATGGCAACTGGAGTGCATGGGATCCTGATTCTGATGCAGCTTTGACGTGACTCGCCAAACCTCTTAGGCGTTGCAAGGGCCATGAAGTGGGGACTCCAACTCAAGACTTTGCTTGGACATGAAAAAGGATGGGAGCCATGAAGGACGCTCCCGGCCAATCCCGGCCACTTTGCAGAGTTGTGTGTTTGCTGTCCCAGTGAGGTGATGACGAATACGAGGAGGAGGACAGGCTGCAGCTTACAAGCACTCGCCATGTATTTGAGGTGCAGCCCGGTTTTTGCCATCGATTGCCCTTGTGTCAGATTGAGATTGATCAAGTCAGATTTAAGTCATGACAGTGCAAGGACAGGCAAGACATAGAAGCCGAAGAGCGCTACAGCAGCGAGCCCAGTACTGTATTGTTTGGGGTTGGCGTGGCACGTATGAGCAAGCAGCAAAGGGCAGACTAAGCAGGCACACCCACACAAACATAGCTTAACAGGGAGACCTGGAGCAAGCCAGTCACAGAAAGCCCTGCAGAACCAAACCATGCTTCTGAGACTGCGGCGGGTGTAGGGATATATTCATATTCGCCTCTTGGACACATCCACTGCCCGTCACGTGCTTTGCATATTCCTTTGCCACCTTTTGCAGTCGCGAATTAGCAAGATGTCCACAGATCGATAACGTTGGTGTTCTGTGGCGGGTTCAGGGGTGTTAGGAGCGCATGTCACAATGTCCATGGCAACTGAAGCGCATGGGATGCAGCTTTGATGTAACTCGCCAAACCTCTTAGGCGTTGCAAGGGCAATCAAACGGGGACAAAGGATGGGAGCCATGAAGGATGCCCCCGCCACTTTGCAGGGTTGTTCGTTTGCTGTCCCAGTGAGGTGATGACGAATTCGAGGAGGACCCATCGATTGCCCTTGTGTCAGATTGAGATTGATCAAGTCAGATTGAAGTCATGACACAAGGACAGGCAAGACATAGAAGCCGAAGAGCGCTACAGCAGCGAGCCCAGTACTGTATTGTTTGGGGTTGGCGTGGCACGTATGAGCAAGCAGCAAAGGGCAGACTAGGCATCCACTGCCCGTCACGTGCTTTGCATATTCCTTTGCCACCTTTTGCAGTCGCGAATTAGCAAGATGTCCACAGATCGATAACGTTGGCGTTCTGTGGCGGGTTCAGGGGTGTTAGGAGCGCATGTCACAATGACCATGGCAACTGGGGTGAATGGGATGCAGCTTTGATGTAACTCGCCAAACCTCTTAGGCGTTGCAAGGGCAATCAAACGGGGACAAAGGATGGGAGCCATGAAGGATGCCCCCACCACTTTGCAGGGTTGTGCGTTTGCTGTCCCAGTGAGGTGATGACGAATACGAGGAGTGTCAGATTGAGATGGATCAAGTCAGATTGAAGTACTGACAGTGCAAGGACAGGCAAGACATAGAAGCCGAAGAGCGCTACAGCGGCGAGCCCAGGGCTGCATTGTTTCGAGTTTGCGTGGCACGTACGAGCAAGCAGCAACGGGCAGACCAGGCGGGCACACAAACACAGAGTTTTCAGTTCTTCGCAGGGCATGTTGCAATGTAAGGCCATGGCTAGTGGCCTATGCTGCTTGCTAGCATCCCTTGGACCTTGCTTGGAGGTGCCCAACATGTCCTCATGTGAACCTCACGTGAACAAGCAAGAGAGAAGAGTGTAAGTACAGGATGTGTGTTGCCAGGCTATAAAGTCACTCAGTCATAGCCTGCGGGTTCCACGTCAGACTCGCCCTAGTTGTGTCTTCCGGAATGGGACAGTAAAGACAAACAACCAACAAACAAATGGAGGGGGGTGAGGGGAACAACAAGGATCGAAGTCCCCACAAAGTAAGGCCGATAAGAAGACCTTGAACCGATTTGGCATGCGATGGCAAACCCAACATGAGGAGGGAAAGCAGGATTTGGCAGAGTAAAGCATGCGCAAGGCAAGAACATGTTCCAGCAGTTCCTTTACGGCAATCGTGCAATTTCTCGTGAAACACGTGCGTCTTGCGCATGTTTCGCAGATGCTAGCTTCTATGTGAGTCAATGTGTCAGACATATCCGATCAAACTGCGGAAGCATGAGAAACACGATGCACCTGAGGTGAAGAGGAGCAACCCAGATCAGAGGATTCAGGCGCTCGGACTGATAAGGAAGATAGGACGGATGATGCACACAGCTCGGGACCAAGAGGCGGTGAGTTGGTCTGGTTGTTGAGTCTTCAATTGCCTTTCTGCGGAACGATTGCAGCAAATTGGTATGTCATGAGCAGGCTGCAAAGGAAGGATGTTGTCACGTCGCATTACCAGTCTTTGAACTGTCGCTTGCCAGCGACAAAGGCGTGGCCTTCGCTAGCATGGCTTCGGGTCTACAGGACGAAACCGAGGACCAGGGACAGCTTGCCAGCGCTTGCACTTTGTTCGCCAGAGCTGCTGGCGGCAAGCCGCTGAATTTGATTGGATGCTACTAAGTCAGGCAACAAGCCACGGCAATGCTAGCGAGGACAGATCAGCAACAGAAGCCCAAGAAACGATTGGCACAGAGCTTAGTGCCGCACGGCTCTTTCTCCAGACTCATACATCGACGAGAAAACACACCTCACTCCCCCTCTCCACAATCCTTGGCAGATAAGAAGACTTTGAGCCGGCTAGTCATAGGATGGCAAGGCAGACATGAGGTGGGAAAGCAGGATTTGGCAGAGTAAAACATGCGCAAGGCAAGAACATGTTCCAGCAGTTCCTTTACGGCAATCGCGCAATTTCTCGTGAAACACGTGCGTCTTGCGCATGTTTCGCAGATGCTAGCTTCTATGTGAGTCAATGTGTCAGACATATCCGATCAAACTGCGGAAGCATGAGAAACACGATGCACCTGAGGTGAAGAGGAGCAACCCAGATCAGAGGATTCAGGCGCTCGGACTGATAAGGAAGATAGGACGGATGATGCACACAGCTGGGGACCAAGAGGCGGTGAGTTGGTCTGGTTGTTGAGTCTTCAATTGCCTTTCTGCGGAACGATTGCAGCAAATTGGTATGTCATGAGCAGGCTGCACAAAGGAAGCACGTTGTCACGTCGCATTACCAGTCTTTGAACTGCTTGCTAGCATCCCTTGGACCTTGCTTGGAGGTGCCCAACATGTCCTCATGTGAACCTCACGTGAACAAGCAAGAGAGAAGAGTGTAAGTACAGGATGTGTGTTGACAGGCTATAAAGTCACTCAGTCATAGCCTGCGGGTTCCACGTCAGACTCGCCCTAGTTGTGTCTTCCGGAATGGGACAGTAAAGACAAACAACCAACAAACAAATGGAGGGGGGTGAGGGGAACAACAAGGATCGAAGTCCCCACAAAGTAAGGCCGATAAGAAGACCTTGAACCGATTTGGCATGCGATGGCAAGGCAGACATGAGGTGGGAAAGCAGGATTTGGCAGAGTAAAACATGCGCAAGGCAAGAACATGTTCCAGCAGTTCCTTTACGGCAATCGCGCAATTTCTCGTGAAACACGTGCGTCTTGCGCATGTTTCGCAGATGCTAGCTTCTATGTGAGTCAATGTGTCAGACATATCCGATCAAACTGCGGAAGCATGAGAAACACGATGCACCTGAGGTGAAGAGGAGCAACCCAGATCAGAGGATTCAGGCGCTCGGACTGATAAGGAAGATAGGACGGATGATGCACACAGCTGGGGACCAAGAGGCGGTGAGTTGGTCTGGTTGTTGAGTCTTCAATTGCCTTTCTGCGGAACGATTGCAGCAAATTGGTATGTCATGAGCAGGCTGCACAAAGGAAGCACGTTGTCACGTCGCATTACCAGTCTTTGAACTGTCGCTTGCCAGCGACAAAGGCGTGGCCTTCGCTAGCATGGCTTCGGGTCTACAGGACGAAACCGAGGACCAGGGACAGCTTGCCAGCGCTTGCACTTTGTTCGCCAGAGCTGCTGGCAGCAAGCCGCTGAATTTGATTGGATGCTACTAAGTCAGGCAACAAGCCACGGCAATGCTAGCGAGGACAGATCAGCAACAGAAGCCCAAGAAACGATTGGCACAGAGCTTAGTGCCGCACGGCTCTTTCTCCAGACTCATACATCGACGAGAAAGCACACCTCACTCCCCCTCCCCACAATCCTTGGCAGATAAGAAGACTTTGAGCCGGCTAGTCATAGGATGGCAAGGCAGACATGAGGAGGGGAAGCAGGATTTGGCAGAGCAATCGATTCATTTGAGTCAGCTTCAATACTACCGTCATTTACTTTATGTGGGATTGTTTCGTGCACATGTTGTTATTTTTTTCTCGAAGAAAACAACAAAACAACGATACGGGACGTCCTAGCATCAGAATGAACACACCCCAGACAAGTAATTTTGAAGCTGACTCAATTTACAGCCATCGCAGAATTGCTCTTGAAACAGCGTCTTGCGCATGTGTCCCAGATGGTCGTTTCTATGTGAGTCAATGTGTCAGACACATCCGAACAAGTTGCGGAAGCATGAGAAACACGATGCACCTGAGGTGAAGAAGAACAACCCAGATCAGAGGATTCAGGCGCTCGGACTGAGAAGGAAGATAGGGCGGATGATGCGCACAGCCGGGGACCAAGAGGCGTTGAGTTGGTCTAGTTGTGATTGATGAGTGTACGATTCACAAATTCACAGGCCAAGCGGGGGACGCAAACACTTGACCGCCGGCCTAAGCAAAGAAAGGTTCGCGGAGCAAAGGTTGGCAACGGAGCAAGCAGCAAGGCAAGCATGGGCAATGCACCACAAATCAAGCTAACCAGTGTAAAGCTGGTGTGTAACTCATTCATGTCAGCGTTGCTTGCACGAGGTCCTTTGTTGGGGGTAGTTTGTTTTCTCTTGGATACCACCGCACACATGCATGAATGACAGGGTTCGGACTTGAGGTGAAGCGGAGAGGCTGCCTAGATTGGAGGATGATGCGTCAAGCAAAGGCGCGCGGTGTCTTGAGTGATTTGCTTTTCCCGATTGAGCAGCTATAGTAGAGGTGCGTGTGTGCGCGTGTATGTGTGTGTGTGAGTAGCAAGGAGTTGCACGGACAAGTTTGAAGACGTGAGGTGACCAGAAAGCGCAGCGACCGGAGGATTCTGTTGGCGGAGAAGAGAAAGTGGATCAGGTGCACAGCGAGGTGCACAGCGGAGGGATGAGCATCAACAAAACAAATCGGGGGATCAAAACAAATTATTCAGGCGTGCGGTCTCCTGGCCTCTTGGTCTCGCCTGGCCTCCTAGACTCCTGGTCTCCTGGTCTCTTGGTCTCTTAGCCTGCCCTAAGCCCTATTGACCCACCCTAAACAACCCTAAGCCCACCCTGAACCAACCCTACGCCCACCCTAACCAACCCTAAAGCAACCCTAGCCAAACCCAGCCTCAACCAACGCCCGAAACCGACCCTAAACCAAAGCTAAATCCAGCAGCCAATTCCTAAACCAGTAGTCCATTGATGACTAAACCACAGCCAGAAATAGGAAAGGTCTTGGGCAGATGGGCAAATGATTTGTGCTTGATCCCTCGAATAACTGTTTGATCCGGGTGTCGATGTCTTATTTGATCCCTTGCCGCAAAGATGTTTTCTTTGATCCTGCACCCCACAGCGGATAGGTTTCTTTCAACGAGCAAGGCAGATCCGACACCAGATGCAGAACGCCGGGAGCCTAGACGTGACACCAAATGAACTGCGAGCAACGGTTTTGAGACAGGCTGTTTACAGTCGGGGGTTTCTGAACCGACGGATGCACGGTGCATGCATGAAGCAGGGGGAATTCTGGATTCTGGCATCTTTTTCAAGTCGATGCTCACCGCACATTGACACTGCTAGTGGCTTTTGCGATCGAATTCAGCAGGCGAAGCATTGGACATCCCAGTTCATTCGGTCTTTCCGATTTCCTGAGACCTACCCACATTGCCGCTGGTGAGGCCACACTTGTGTGGTCAAGGACAACTAAGAGCGCATGTTGGGGGGGCCGGGGGGTGCCCTAAAAAGCATAAGCAACCAAGAGACCAACAGAAACAAGACACACAAGCTAACAAACAAACAATCAGTAAACAGACACACAAACTCACACACACAGACACAACACACACACACAACACACACACACACACACACACAGAGACACACACACACAGCCACACACAGACACACACACACAGACAAACGCACAAACACACTCATACACACAATGAGCGGCGAGCAACTCTGTCGCATGTGAGACGAGGCGAGGGTCAAGATCAGTGTGAAGCGCTGGAGACCGGATCGGACTCGGAGGCAGCAGGCCAGATTCAGACATGAAAGTTGGAGGGCCTTGTGCTGTGACCAAAACAACCTTTGATCTTTGAACCTGTCGGAAAATGGCAAGGGTTCCCCACAAGAGATGATTCGGCATACCTGGGTCTTCCTAAGTCCGTTCTTTTCTGTGTGTTCCGTGGAAAACTGCTTTTTCAGGGCAGGTCATCATATTTTTGCCTCGAGGCGATTTTCCTGAATCTTGTCATTTGGATGTATGCCACAAACTGGCGGAGGCGTTTTGCCCCGGGCGTTTTTCCGCGATGCAAAGACTTGTTTTTGCGAACCCTGCTCCTTGGCGCGTGTCCCGAAGGCGCTTTTTGAAGGAAAAGGCAATGTGTGATGGAATCGACTGATTTTTTTGGATTGCAGCAAAAAGCGGAAATTCCAGGTTTTCTATTTATTTCGATATTGAACCTTGCCGTTGGAAAATGAGTGTGCAAGTTGTTCTTGGGAATGTGGGCAACAGTGCCAAGACCCATCTCAACGACAGGCGTGGATGACGGGCCGCAAGTGGAGGAGGATGAGAGTTTGGACCTGAGGGCCCAATTATTTGCCGCGCAAGTGTCGTTCAAGAAGCCATTTCGCGGGGAGGGGGAATCCTTCAGTGGCCTTCAGAAGCGAAGAATGGTACTGATTTTTCGGCAGAAAAGGCCATTCCACCCTGGAACCGAGAGAGTCTCTCGCCATTTGCTGGTGGAAATTGCAAATTTGTCCCCGCTGACTCCTTGGAAATGTCGCCATCAAGCACCACTTCTGAATTGTCCACAGGCCGTCTTTCGCAGAGTTGAGAACTCAGGCGAGAGGCTGCAGAAGGCTGGATAGATGCAAATCGATGCAGCCGGCTCAAGTCAGTAGATTGCATTGCATCAAAAAGCAAACACCATTCATTTCTTGTTCACCCCGCCAGCCGTCCAGGAGCTCCATTTGACTCCTGCTGAAAAGCGGGCCAGGCTCGGCCTACCGCAACCAAAACAGCTTTCAAGCCTTTCGCGCTTTGCGCCCGAGCTGTTGAGGTTTGAAGGCCGAGACCAATCAGTTGTGGCTCTCCAGAAGAAGAAGAAGGCTCGAGTTCCAAGACAAGTCTCCCGCGCATGACAGGTACTGGCAGTCCATGATTGTTTCTCTGGGAATATGTGTTTCGACATTGCAATACTCTAATTATCTCGATTCCTGGTTGACCTTCACCTTAATTTCGGTTTAGGCGTGTGATCCGCGCAAAGAGATTCTTGAGCGCCATGTCTCATTGACTTGGCCCTCTATTGCACAGCGGGCTGTGTCCGCTGTGGCGTAGGTGCGAACGCCAGCTCGGGAGGCCCGGAGACACGCGAAGAGAATTGGTCAAACTCGCCAAAGTGCATCTCAACTAAGACATGGGCATGGATCAAACATCAACCACCAGACAGGGTTTGGGTGTTAGTCCATGCTTCCACATACCAAGGCTCCATGTTGGGGATTCCGATTTTTGACCCGAGCTTCGGGAGCTTCAGCCCTCGGGAGGCCGCAAAGCTGTTGTCAAGCCTGCGGCAACTGGGAGGCGCGAGCCCATGACAGTGTGGGCTCTTCTATGGGGGAACCCCCCTTTGGTTTTAGCCAGGGCCCGGGAAAACTAGGGATCACCCGCCATTTGGGCGGCTCTTCTACCCTTGAAACAGACGAGCCTGGCAAGGCGTTCGCGGCTTTCAATGGACCTAGCCCTGCACCTCGCACCATGCAACAGAATGCACTGCATCTCAAGGTGCTGCTCCGCATGTGAAGACTGTCTATGGATTTTCGTACTTGGATTTTCCAAATCTGTATTCCTGAGATTTGGAGCTGTTTGCGTACTTTCGTGGCCAGCGACTTAGGAACTGCAGAATCGCCGACTCCGGTAACGGTACTAATGCGTGGCCATGGTGGTACAAATACTTTGCGGAGCTGCTTTATCTTGGTTTAGGATGGGATTTATGACCACCCGCATCATAGGTAAAAGACACACGTGTGTCGCAGTATGATTCATATGGCTTGTCCGCGAGGTGGCAGCATTGGAGTGGCATGGCGCCGCCTGTTCGACGTCGATGAGCCCGGGGGATTGGGGATTCGAGTTGGGCCTCGGGATAGGTTTTGTCCGATTGAACCGATTCCGGGGGTAGCTTCGGTTTGGGGGAAGAAATCGAGTCACGCAGGAGGCAAAGTTCCCAGAGTTCTGCTGCGCCCTGGTGACCCTCCACTTCTCAGGACATGTTTTCGTGATTCGGCCCAGTTTCCTGGATGTCTTGGGTAAACTATGGCAAGCGCGAGCCCAGTCCGGCCGAGGAGATGTGATCCGCCTGTGGCACGACCTTGCAGGGCCTTCCACTCCTGTGCTCAAGCTCGAGGCGCGCTTGCATTCAACGAGCACATTTGAGTGTCTCAGATTGAGTTGGGCAGGTGTTCCCGTGTTCCTTGCCAAATCCAAATCTTAGGGGGTTGAACGCCTTTGCCACCATGCACTACATTACAGACCTAAGAACCTGAAAGGGGCAAGGAAGACTTGACCCAAAGGAAGCAGCTAATGGGTAAGGAGACATGCAATGACCCAAGCGAGGCTGTGGATCCGGAGAGTGCCTCCCTCCTGCAGGCCTTCAAGGCAAATGGAGACATGCCCCCAATTGCTTTGCCTCGCTGCTTTTCGCGAATCGATGCAGTATTCCATCGTGACATGTTCAACCTCCACCTTAGTCCAATCTGGTGTGATGCCCTTATCTCGGGCCTTTGGATATGCTTCCTTTGGATTTTGCGGGCTCCCCCAGAAAAGCGTGTTTTCTCAAAGAATGAGAAGGCACTGTGACCCTGAGAAAAATCACGCCCCCAAAATGAGGTACTTTGTCAGTAAACAATGGGCACCGTGCTTTCCCAGAGACATCGTGCCCTCTCAATTGTCCCGTGTTTGTTTCTTTCTTTGAGAAGGCATGGTACTCTGGGGCAGGCTCAGGCATGGGGTTCAGACGCTCGATTCTCTCAAGCTTGAATCTCCATGCTGAGCGGTGCCAGTCAGCGCAGACAGCTTGGATTCAACCGCACAGTCTGGTCCACTAGCGCAGGCGTGGTGCACGTCGCGCCTGGGAGGTCCAGTCGAGGCCAGAACCCGCTGGCACAAGTCTCGGTCCTTTCGTCCCCGCCCCCCCCCCCTGGCTGCTTGGCGTGTGAGTCTCACGAGCATGCTATTCAGGCCGTCTCAAGTCTGTGGCCAGAGATTGCTGGCTTTTGCCGCGTGCCGTTCTTTTGTTGCATGCCTGGAACCTGAAACGAAAGCAACCATTGACAGACATTTACATGGTAATTTCCCAAGCAAGCATTGCCTCTGAGACCCACCTGATGGAAAATGGCAGCTTGAGCAAAAACCAATGCTATTTCAGGTAGGGAGCCCAGACCCACTTGGAGATTTTGGATTTCAAATCCAACGCCAGGTCTTCAGGGCCATAGACCTGGCCTCCGATGGCAGTGGCTCTGTGAAGTACGGGCGCCCGAAAGCGAAATCGGGATCGAGCCAAGGGCGCGCCCCATTTTTTTTGAGGCGAAGTTAAGGGGGGGAGGCATTTTTGGGATTTGTCTAAGGGAAGCCAAAAGGAACACATTGTGTTTGTTGCCATTTGGGTATGGGTCAAAATTAATCCACCAGGGTACCGCAGGTTTTAGTCCATGTTTCCACTTCCCAGGGTTCCATTTTTGGGCTCCCGATTTTTGACCCGCCAATTTGGGGGATCCGATCACGAGACATGAGCATGGGTCTCGGAGGACTGAGAAGTTTGTGGAGGGCCTTCAGAAGCTGGGCTTCTTCCAGCCGAAGGCGCGACGAGGGCCTCCGCATGTCTCGGAGCTTCGGAGCTTCGGAGCTTTCAATCTGCCAGGGCGCAGCCTGGCAGATGAAGACTCCGGACGGATGGCACATGATGGCACAGACGAATCCGTGTTGCCACGATCCATCGTCTTTTTTCTTTGTTTAAAGCATTATTCGTGTTTTTTGGTTTGTTGCTTTGTATTCGGGTTGCAAACTGGATGTTATACATTCGGATTGTGAATTGTCCATTTGAACTTGAGGAGCTTGTCCTGCAAAAGCTTTGGCCGCTGCTGGATCACCATTGCCGGGGGTGCATCACCACGGATTCTCTGCTCTTCTTGGAGAAGGCACGGGAAAAAACCGGATGTTGTTTGTACTAGTCCTTGCCTCAGGATCCTCAGAAGAGAGCTGCCGTTCACCGAGAGAGAAACAGGCACTCCGCAGTCATCCGCAGTCCAGTGCTCGTGAAGGCTGCTGACGTGCCTTGATTTTGCCATGCCAGGCGTCCCAAACGCTCGCCAGAGGCTGGAGCGATCGTGTTGAGACGCGAGATTGCTATGTTTGGAGAGGTGAGCCACAATCAAACCCCGGGTAGATGAAGGATAGTAAAGGATAGCCCCAACCAGAAATGGTTGCAGCCGCCTTCTTAATTCTTTGCATGGTTCTGGGTAGACTACTTTAATCCGGGGCTTTGAGTATGTATGGCTCAGGTCCTCAGGTGATGATTTACAATAGGTTTGATTTGCACTTGTCACTGAGCTAAGCCTGAGACCTTTCACGTTGGGTCAACTTGCAAGCGCACCCATGTTAGTGGGCGGAGCATCGTTCGCTGCACGCCACGTGCCTGACAAGTCGAGATGCCTTCAGGGGCACAAGAGCGACAAGATCATTCACAACCTGCTCTTGGAGACTACGGCTATGGGCAACAAGCACTGGTCACAGATTCCCGATGGCCATGTGGCCGTTGCATCTCGCCTGACGAATGACGCGCGCAGACTAATTGGATGACATGCAGATCAGACGCATGCGCGCGCCAAGCGCCCAGGGCCGACCGCTCAGCGGGCTCAAGGAGCCCAAGGAGCCCAAGGAGCCCAAGTCCATGTCTCGGGCCTCCTCGGCACCCATGCTGCAGGCGGGGCGGCGGGAGGGGCGGAGAACTTGCCTCAGACCCGCAAGCTGGCTTCGTTTTGGCTTGTCTTGAGTCTTGACCATCCCCATTTTGAGACGGCTGGATTCACAAGATGGAAAGGCGGAGGCGAGCTTCCGACAAGCTCTCCCGAAGAGCGCCAGCTGCCACCTCGGACTTTGCAGCTTCGCTGTGGTCGAAGTCATCTTGGAGCCTGTGTTTTTTCTGTCTAAAGCTGTGCGGTCGAAAATGCTATACGGCATTTTGAATCTCATCTCCAGGTGATACCGCTCAGGCAGGCGTCAGCTCCGGTTTGGCAGCTGAAGACTGCGACTGAGCAACTGAATTGAGTGCCTCGAATGAGACGCGTCACGAAGTATCTCTGCCGAGTGCCAGGCAGATGCTGAAGACCTGCCTCTGCTGGATCTGAAGACCAGGTGTGCCACGGTGTGACTTCACCGGAAGTGTTGGTGTTTTCTCCAGGCCCAAAGTCACTCATGCCCGGCGAGCCTACTGCAGCAGTGGCAGCCTGAAGCTATGCCAGTGGGCACTGGGTTAGCTTTGAGTTAATGTGTTTCATGGGCAGAGACGGCAGAGAGATGCAGATGGGAGTTGTTCTAAAGGTCCTTGTAAGGAGCTTAGTATTCGGTGACCATTTGCGTCGAGATAGCTCTACTACGAAAGATTCGTGACGCAGTTGCGGAAGTAACTTGTTTGTCGCGTATCGGTCATCTTACAAGTGAGCGACACCCTGCGACGTGTGAAAGCAGCGTATTTTTGCCGTTGAGCCTTCAGATCCGCGAAGGCAAGCGCGAAAGATCGCGAAAGTATAGACTTCGATTGCAAGGGGAGGTACTTTCTGAGCGACGCACTAGGCAGTGTACTAACTTGGTGCTGAAACGCGACTTGCCGGCTGGATGTTCATTTCGTGTACTGACTTGGCACTAAAAAGTTGCGACTTTCCAGCCGCAGCTGCGAAAGTGCATTTCATGTGCTATCCTTGTGCTAGAAAGTTGCGACTGTCCAGCAGGAGTTGCGGAAGCGCATTTCGCGTACTGCCCTTGTGCTGGAAAGTTCGACTTTCCAGCTGGAGGTGCAAAAGTGCATTGCGGGTACTGCATTTATACTAGTTGTTGCGACTTTCTAGCCAGAGCTGCAGACATGCCTTTCGCGTACTACATTTGTACTTGCAAGCTGCGACTGTTTGACTTTAGCAATTAAACATGCACGGCGATGATTCGCGAATTTGTCGTTTGCTCGAAGAATGGCCGCTCCGAGACAAAGGAGTTTAGAACAACCCCGATGTAGAGAGATGTGGAGAGATGCAGAGAGCTGATTGTCGACCCCTGATGAATCCACCCCCCAGTTACAAATCAGGCGGCTTTTTTTTTAAGAAAGGAATTTTCACTACATAAGGGACCGCTTTGATTGACAACTGGGGGGTTTACTACGCAGGGGTCAACAAGGTCTTGTGAACTTGCCTGTGCTTTGGGCACCGCCGGAGTCGACGGAGGCCAGGATTTCTTGCGAACCGCAAAGTTTTCCGCGCAATCCATGCATGGATTGCATCAGGTGACCAGCTTGAAGCGGCCCAAGAAGGCAGCATCGGGGCCGTCGGGTGTTATCAAGCCCGGGAGTACAGCATCCGCAAAGCTATGGCAAGGAGCCTTTGTAAGCAATATGGTTTGCATGGTGGCCCAACTCAAGTCCTCACATCGCATGGCAACGCAAAGGAGGGAGTCAGAAAGAATTGTATCGAGCAGTGACGTTTCTGAGACCGAAGGATGTCCAAAGCGTAAGTTACCCGCTGCCAATATTCCGGACCCTCGCCGATAAGGCGAATGAGGGCTGAGGAGCTAGTCGCTGCCTCTCGCAGGTGTTCAGCTTCGACCCCACGAGGCAAGGGCGCAGGCGGTATGCAGATATGGGAGGCGGTGGCGATAGATTGACCCTGTTCGGGTCCCGACCAAAATGACCCGTCAATCTTCAACAAGCAAGACCCTGGGTTGGAATCGGGATTGAGCAAGCCAGAAATTCAAAGATGAGGATCAACTTTCATCCCATGCCATGGACAAATGGAGTGCGCCGCTGCAGGATTCAGAGCTTCCTGTCCACACCGGGGCCTGGAACTTAATTGAGAGAATTGTCTAGACTTTGCTTTCGGACGCGTACAGCGTCGCAGAACTTTACATAGGTCAAGCCCCGACAAGTCGTCATGTTTATCCTTTGTTACTGCGCTGCTCCCAGCTTTTTCCCGTCCAAGAGATTGCTTTCCCACGCGCCTTTACGTGTTCTTGGGCGCATGCCAGGGAGGATGTGTGGCGCCACTACTTGCAATACTTCGGAGAGGGCACAAGTGATGAAGGCGCTCACGAGCCGTGCAAGTGATACGTGGCTGGAGTTTCGAGATCATTGCTCAGGCGTCCCCGGGCAGGCGATGGACTGCAACGATTCACCAGAAAAAGACGTGTTGTTGAGCCAATTTGCAGCAGCCTTCTTTTGTTTGCAGATGTTCCATGGCGTCAGGTGTCATTTGCACACATTTAGGCCTACCTAAGGCGTAACGGGGACAACATTCGGCTTTCGGAGCGGCAGCGCAGCATTTGACCATATTTTTCACTATACTGACGCAGAGACACCACTTCACTCCCTGAGTGGTTTTGATTCACGGCTGGTATTTGCCTGCGCGCAGCTTGAAAGAGGCGTTCCTGTGTGGTGCTGGTCATGTCAAGCTGCTCAGTGGAAGTGCGACCGCATGCGACATGAAGCAAAACGGACGAACTGCAGATGCAGTAGTGGCGGATTCGCAATTCGAGACAGTAACATATTGGTTGCAGAAAGCTGTTTCGCAAATCAGAGAGTCAGAGTCCTTGATACTGCAACTTGTTGCTTGCTAAGCCGTGCTCTTAAGGCGATGCTCAGAATAGCTAGGCATTTCCGTCCGGCAGCAAGATTGCCCAGCTGTTGACTTTGAGTCACGGAACATGTTCAGCTTGCTGCCCTGTGCATGGCTGCCGTCACTGCGGTCGAGCAGCTGCAACGGGGTGCTGACCTCAGCTTTGCAAAGCGCGGATGCGACTTCAAAGTCTCAGGTGGCCGGCAGCTGGTGATTTTGCGGGGCCCGCCCGGCTGTGGCAACCCGACCAAGTGCGCCGGGGGAGACAATTCAAGCAAATGAGTTACGCGACACGCCGCCTTCGGTTGGCTTCAGTGGGTGGCAGCTGTGCTCGACTGCGTTTCCACGGGGAATTTTCCTTAGCTTGCTGCTGTTTGCGTTCAACTGCACTTGCATGAGCAACTTGAGTCTTGCGGGGCATGGCGAGTGCCCTCCCCGCTACAGCCGCGGTTGCTACTGGCCAAGGCAAATCGACCTTCGCTTGCACCTGGCTGGCGCAGCTCTTTGGCACCAGCCCAGAGCAGCTGCAATTGCATCGTGGATGGACGCTGGCACACGCTGCTTGTCAGAAGGTAGCCCTTTCAGAGGCATTGCGTTTTTGTAGATACTGGTTGGAAGTTTTTATTCTTTGATCACTTTGCATGACAGGCTGGAGTGATAGCTGGATTGCCTTGCTCCATCATCAGATTTGCTATGTGACAAGTATCGACTCATCACTACCTCTGGGCTACTCACCTGAATTGATTTTCTTCTTTGTCCAACGTAGTACAGCACAGGTATGCAGCGCAGATGACTTTTGCACGACGGGCCAAGCAGACCTTTATGACTTCAACGCCCAGTCATTGCACGAAATTCATCGCCTCAACGAGCAGAGGGTGAGTATGGCAATGCGCTTAGGCGGGCAACGGGCCCCGGAAAGGCTGCGTCGGCTAGGGCTTCTTGTAGGTGTTGCATCCATCGTAAGCCGGTCAAGCATGACAGGCCTCACGCCGGTGGTGGTCGACAACACGAACATGCAGCTATGGGAGATGCAGGGATATGTGTACTCAGCTCAGCGTTTTGGCTACGCCGTGCAGGTGGTACATCCTTCCACCTTTGACCCTGAGTGGAAGGACGTGGTGCATTTGATGCAGCGCAACGCGCAACGCGCCCACCTTGGCAAGGACCTGCCGTTGGAAGTGCTCCGGCGCATGCTGCGCCGCTTCGAGCCCTTTGGGTCTCTGCAGGACATTTTGCAGGCGAAGGCGAAGACGGAGCGCGGAGTCCAAGATCTTCGATCGGAGCTTCGTGTGGATCCCACGGATGGCTGCGCCTACGGCCTGGAAGACTTCGTCGAGGAGTACGGCGGCACTGTGGAGGATCCGCCGGCCGAGTGGTTCTCAGCCCATCCGGCGCCAGTGCCTCCCAGCGTGCGCGCTCCAAGCGAGGCCAGCCGCAGCAGTTCCAGCCGCCGGAGTCGGAGTCGGAGTCGGAGTCGGAGTCGGAGTCGGAGTCGGAGTCAGAGTCAGAGTCGGAGTCGACATCTCTTGAGATCACAACTGGTGCTGCAGCGGCTCTGGCAGGCCGCAAGCTGGCCCGAAGTGAAGAGGCAGTTGGTTGAGGAGTACGAGTTGGAGGTGGAGGAGGACGAGGAGAGAATACGGAAATATTGGGTTAGATGTTTGGGGCTTGTGACAATCAAACACTGAGCTTCACTGCACAGGACCTTTGCATTGTGACTGCAAGGCACGACAGCTCTCTTTGGCATAAGGGCGAGCACTGGCGTGAAGCGCTGCGGGAGAATCGGGGCACGATATACGAGAAGTGGTCGGGAAGGCCAGTCTGCCTGCCGCTTCTCAAGTTTTGGAACCACGGAGAGCGGTGCGCAGATGAGCTTGATTGGGCAACCACCATCGCTGAAGAGAAGATCGATGGGAATCTCATGAAGCTCTTTAATTACAAAGGTTCATGGCGATTGGCGAGCAATCGGACGCTGAGTGTTCATGATAGCTCTAGGAGCAAATATGCATGCACAGGCAGGTCCAACTACGAGTTGTTCATGGAAGCGGCCAAAAACAGCGGTTTGTGCATGCAGCAACTGGACACCAACTGCTGCTACATGTTCGAGCGCGTTCATCCAGACTTCAGAGTGGTTCTGGACTATCCTGAAGCCAGGCTCTTCCACATCGGAACCCGCAACATGAATACCTTGCAAGAAGTTGATGTAGATATCGGCGTGCAGCAGCCACGACGGTGGCAGGTCCATTGCGAGAAAGATTGCCAAGCCTTGCTGGATTCCTTCGACGGCTTTGCAGAAGGGATCGTTGTGCGTGACGCAGACTACCATCGGCAGAAGTGGAAGCGACGGGAGTACCTGATGCTGCACTCCGCCCGCATGCTGGTGGGCAGCGACGAGCCATGCTATGCCTGGGTGGCAAGATGTAGCAACGCAGGGAGCATGGAGATGGATCGATTGTGCCTGAACGTTTGGCTGCGGTCCGAGGCATCTGAGTTCGCTGCTTACTTCCCAGAGGCAGAGGCAAACTTCCATGTTTAAAGTTGGCCAAATGCTGGCCTGGCAGGTTTGCTGCGCCCCAGAATTTAGTGAGAGAGCGGAAAGAAAGAGCATAAATTTCTTGAGCCCTGAGGCCATGCAGAGATACTTGGACATCTCGAAGACGCTTGAAGCCGAAGGACCAAATTCCCGATCTCAAGTTGGTGCTGTTTCGTCGGAAGCCCCCTACAGTTTGGTGGTTGGAGCTCTCCGAGTGACATGTTCTGTTTTCAGCTCGACCAGGATTTCTGCAGCGGACGGTGGGATCGGATGAGGTCCATGAGGTCAGGGCACGTGAGAAGGGCACTGGACGCTTCCTGCACGAAGAGCGGCTTTGGACTGAGATTCAGAAAGAGAACACGTGCCAAATTTGAGCAGCTCTTAAAACCCCCCGTTACATCCCAAGCAAGAGTTGTGTCATAACAAGGCCGCGCGTAAGCAAAACCCTGCACGGCGTAAGCCGGCGTAAGCACTTTTTGGGAAACATGCTGCGTAAGCACCTGCGTAAGCTCTTCTTCGTGATGGCTTGGTAAGTTGCGTAAGCACGCACGGAAGAGTTGTTTCACACATGTGCTTATGTGTTGACAGAGGCGGTTCTGCATAAACACCTGTTTCATATTTTGGGTCCAAACGGGCTTAAGACCCCGGACAACCCCCCGGACAAACCCCGGGAGGCCCAAAAACCCGGCACAAACCGCCAGACAAGTCTTCGGACAGGTTTGGAACACGCCAAAACCACTCGCCACTCGGAAACCACTCGGAAACCGCTCGGAAACCACTCGGAAACCGCTCGGAAACCACTCGGAAACCACTCGGAGGGAAGTATTCTCGCGAAATGGGGGGTTTGCAGCATAATTGTCGGCAAAGTGCGCGGACAACCCCCCAGACAACCCTCCGGACAACCTTCCGGACAACCACCCGGACAACTTGCCGGACAGTTGTTTGTCCAGCACTTTGTCCCGCACTTTGTCCCGCACTTTGTTCCGCACTATGTCCCGCATATTGAGGGGGGTGTTTATGCAGAAGGGCATTCGTCAACTTATGTGTTTATTGGTGGCTTGTGCTGTTGCTGCTGCAACCTAGCCGAGCTTTGCAACTTGCCCAGAGACTTTGGCTGCAGGACAACGTCTAAGACCGCATGTGCACACCAATAGAAAACAAAGCCAGCAGAACTTTGATTGGGAGCTCTTGGGGCTCATGCTAGGTGCTGTTGCAACCTGTACTAGGACAAACAAAGGCTTCTGAAATCGCTGATCTAGGAAAACTAAAGGGGCTCGGGCGCGTAAGCTCGCGTAAGCAGGCGCGCCGTAAGCTCGCCTAGCTGGGCTGCCCGCTAGCCCTAGCGATGGATGCCGCTGCCACGTAACATGTACGAATGACGAAACGGCCTCAAAAACGAAGGCGAGTCTTTGTAACGAAGGCTTGAGAGATATTCCAGTTTCGCGCATTAGAGTTTTGGCGGTAGCTCATTTGCAGTTATAAGAACAAAAATGCCAAGCCTCTGAAACTCGTGAGGGCAGTTCTTCGTCATCTTCCTCCTCAGAGTCATCCACTTCACCTTGAGCAGTTCTTGCGGCTGCATGAGCAAAGGAGCCCGCGCAAGCAATTTTTGGGGCGAAACGCTCAAAACGCCCACGCGTAAGCGATGCGTAAGCTTAACATGATCGCTGACTGACGCGTAAGAGAAAACATGGGTCGCGTAAGGGAAGCGTAAGCTCGCGCGAAAGCAACTTGATACGACATAGGGATTCATGGGAGGTTTATAGAGTCGCTCAAATGATCAAAGGCCTGGCCCCAAGCCAGGGGGCGATTGCTTAATTGGCATTGCGTGGCATGGGTTGTGTAATGTTGATTTGGGGAGGACATGGGGCCTACCGGGGCAATCCAATTTGTTTAGTCCTTTTGGGCCCTCAAGTGTTACCGGTGCAGTTTCTAGCCCATCTTGGCGCGCACTCCGTGCAATTGATACTCCTAGTTGCATCTCGGTTTTCCCGGCATTCGAACCAATGCCACAAGTGTCGCCACCGGACAGGTTTGCAGTTGTTGGAACTCAAGTGGCATCCGACCCGCTCGCGCGCCCGTCCTGCCCCCATCCACCTACCGCTGACCGTGACAAACAGGAACTTACAGCCCTGACAGCCGAACCTTGGACAGCTGTGCTCCCGGTGGCCAGGCAAGCCGTGACAGGCTGAAGCTCAGCGCCGGACTAGGACCTGTGGCAGGCAAAGACAAGACCGGACCTTGTGCCGGGCACGGAAGCGGCGCCTACACTTTGAGCTGCTGTAGTTGGATCTTGGCGCTGCAGATGATGTGTCCTTGCAAGAGCTTGACCGATCACTCGAAGAATCGGAGAGCCCTGGATTTAAGGGAATCCCCGCCAAACAAGAAGTGTGACCTTTTGGCACCTGTGTGGCTGCAGCCTAGCAGGTGGGCTAGATGGTTCGAAGTAACGTTCAAAGGAAGTGATGGACTTAATTAAGGAAAGACACTTGGCATAGTGACATAATATATGAGTGTTGTGCTCAATATAATTTGTATATATTAATATATATATATATACATATATTTGTTAATACACATATATATACACACATGTGTGTACATATCATTCGCATATCATCTCCAGACCATGGCTTCTCGATCAGGTTCACAAAAGCTGCGTGGCAACATTTGGCTTAAGATAAGGTACAATGGTGGCATTATGATCCTCAAAGTATGATTTTAGCTGAAAACGCATTGCTCTCCATGCTGCAACACCCCACAATTGTAGCCACAATAACACGTGTGTTGTACACATTCATCTATCATGATATGTGCATAGATATGAATGTGGGTCAAAACCAACCACACCAAAACATGGGTAGGTGAACATCCCAAATGCTCATTAAGTGGGCTATTTTCCCGCGGCACAGGGTGTTGGCCCACAACCATCCACTACATGTGCCATTTTCTCATCCAGAGCATGACTTGCCGACGACCTTTGCAGTCTGGTTCAAAGGGAGCACTGTATGAGCTCAGCCAGTGCTTGCGCCGTGAGCTCAGACAGGATGCCGCTGGACGTCTACTACTCAAGTCCTAGGCCAAACGGCCGTGGGTCAAAAACCCGTACCCCCAGTGAACATCCCAATCCCCACAAAAATAGACTAAAAATGGGTGATGCACCTACCCCAAAATGGTACCATTGGTTTTGACCCACAACCAAACATGGCAAGACAAGCTCAGCGAAGGTGGGATTCTCATGAACTCGCGGACAAGATAGAGATTGGCGCTGGATGCAACCGCTTGGGACACATGGGAAAGTATAATGTAACTATTGATCAACAAACAGCCTGTTGAATCGAATCTCCCCCAAAGCAGAATACCAACATGTCAGTCTCAGTGTTGATACCGTCTTGCCTTTCAAATGACGTTGGAGCAAACGTGAACGAGGCATCCACACGGGATTTGGAACAAAATACATGGCCCTTCCAGGTTTGTGAGCGTTCGTAAATTATATCTTGAGAATAGTGAGTTGCCTTGAAAACATGGAGACCTCAACACCAATCTTCGTGGAGAGAGTCGGAGTGTGAAAACCATGCAAAGTGAACCTCAACTTGCGGACCGCTTCCTTTATGGTTCAAGCTGCCAAAGCTGCAGCTGAGCTGCGAGAGGTTCGCATGGAGAAAGTGTCCGAGGCCTTCAACCGATTCGACAAAGATGGCTCCGGCTCTATCTCCCGTGAGGAGCTTGCCGAGGCGAGGACAGGCGGTTGCCTGAACAAATGCTTGCTTCCGTCGCAACCCAGCGCGCGCATTGCATCATGTGCCAATGTATCTTTGCTAGACCCCTCAAAAAGACAATGACCGTTTTTTAAACCATCCTGGAACTTCTACTTATTAAATTTGTGACCCGAGTGTAGACGATGTTTCGTTTCTTTACCGAATCGCTAGGTCCTGTCAGAGCTGAACACCGGCATTGGCGGAGACCTTGGCGAAGAGCAAATCGACGAGATCCTCGCGGCGGCGGATTCCAGTGGTGATGGAGAGCTGCAAGTGCAGGACGAGCAAGCTAGCAGATTTCACCGTTTGGGATAGCCCTCGGCCAATGAGAATAGGTGGTATTTGCATTTAATTGCAAAGCTTTGACACTGCTCGGCAAGCAGCCTTGGGCTATGGCAGGTAGCCTGGCGAGGTGCTTGCTTTGTTTCACTGGATGAAGTCTTCAGCTTGACAGCATTCGTAGAGTTATTCAGTTCAACGAATACCTTGACCTGCAAAAGTCATGGAGTTTCTGGGCGTTCTAAAATTCTAAGGCGGTTGTTCATTTCTAGGCGTAGGCACAGCAATCCTCGCTTACAGAGTGTGATTCAGTCATGATGTCGCTCAACATGCACATTGTGGCTGCCCTTGATCAGCTCGGCTAGAGCCCTTTCCGAGCCACACTTCTTGCTGTCCAGAGAAGCGGTTTGCTGGCTAGTTCTGTTTTGCAGACGTTTGCGCATTTGTGCGTTTTGTGGAGTGTTGCGCTTCTTTGTGGGCGTTTGGCGGGTAAATGGGCATTTCGATCTCTGGGCGGGCCATTGCTACAGTTCCCCTTGCACGCCTACATGTCTTGTCCGCGGATGGCATTTGAGGTGTAGCAGCCTGTGCCGACCCGACAGGATTCCGTTTGTTTGTCTCATGCCGTCCTACTTTACGCTTCCGAAAAATGGCCATCTCAAAACGGGTAGTTTTGGGCTGTGTCAGGTGTCTGCGCAGAAAGCAACAAACAATTGGTAAATGCCAAAAACTACCAGAAATGCCATAAACGAATCCCCAGGCAACTAGTGAGAGCCAGGCACTCATGTAAGAAACTCATGTTTCGACTTCTGATTTAGTTGTTGCAACAAGTATGCATATTTGTGGGAGAAAATCGAGTCTTTGACATAGCAAGGGGAGGTTAAGCTAAGGACTCATACCCGTCTCACCTTTTTGGTGGACAAGGCAACAACTAACAAACCCACCAACCCAACCAAACCAAACCAAAGAGCCAACCAACGCAACCAAACTATTAACAAACCACCGATACCCAACGCCAACAGCTACCAATAGCTAACCAGTTTCTGCAGCAAGTACATACCACAACTACAGCAGCGAGGCAGACAGACAGCCAACAGACACGGACACAGACCCAGGCACAGACAGACAGAGGCAGGCAAAGAGACGCACGGACAGACAGACGGAGACAGAGACAGACAGAGACATGCAGACAGACAGACAGGCAGGCCGGCCGGCCGGCAGGCAGGCAGACAGGCACAGAGAGAGCCACAGAGAGACAGACAGACACAAACATGCACAGAGAGACACAGACAGATACAGACAGACACAGCCAGACCCAGACAGACACAGGCAGATACAGACACAGACACACAGACACAGACAGACACAGACACAGACAGACACAAACAGACACAGACAGACGGAGACAGACGCAGACAGACACAGACAGATACAGACACAGACAAATATAGAGACAGAGACGGATAGAGACAGAGAAACAGATAGGCAGGTAGGCAGACAGACAGACAGACAAAGACAGACAGACAAAGACATACAGACAATGACAGACAGACAAAGACAGACAAAGACAGACAGAGAGAGAGTCAGAAAGCAAGCCGAGCAACGCAAATGTCAAGTTCAGCAATTGCTGAAGATACCTTAGGACAACTCTGGCTTTTCATCTCATGCAAGTTCCTCCCAACGGCACACTTACTTACCTCGCGAGTCAAGCCACGGATCTTAGGGAAGGTATTTGGAGAGTCGATTGAAGGTTCCAATTCGCAAGCTGGTGCCAAAGGGGTTATGCGCATCGCAGCCCTCAGGAGTTTGTGAAGTGGGCTTTTGCAGAAGACCAGGAGATCTCCAAGGGTTTGAAGGGGAAGTACGTCCTGAACATTTCGGGCCACTTGGTAGCTGCAGTTGTAGCGTGCATGTTTTTAAGGAGATGTGTGGGCCGCTGACAAGGACAGGATTGTTGAAGTCCATTTCATTTGTTGGTTTGTGCGGCTGTCGATCGAATATTCCGCACTTCCATGGCAGAACTGTGAATCCAGGTTGTTCGCGCACACAGTTCAATGGTGACTACATCCAAGAGGACGAGTTTTACTATCACCGGCCCGTGTTTATGTGCTTGGAGACGAAGATGCGCCTCTTCTATCATGGGGAGAGGCGCGGATTGAACAAACATGTAGACTCAAGCTTCATTGGGCTGTATTTGTGAAGGCTCATGCGCTTCCATTGCCACTGCACTGCAAACCACATGCGTACTTTGGCCATGCGCTTCAAGCCAACTCCTGTTGATTCCGATGTCCTGATGGACGACCTCAATTGACCGCTTATTCAAGTCCTTTCATTTCCCCTAGTCTTCTCGTGCTCCAGGGGCCAATGGCAGATCTTTCACCGCACTGGCACCCAAGCATCCTGCCGCTTGAAGACCGCGCGCACGCCGCATATGCCGGGAAAAGGAGTCGAGTGGGCGGTTTTCAAGAGCGTCGACGGTGTCTCTGAGAAAAGTCGTTTTTTTGTTTTTGTTTTGTCTTTGCATTTGCTGTTTAGTGTTGTTGTGTGGAAATTCGGCGAAGGGAAGCCATCTCCAAGATGTTCTCGATTTGTTTGCAATGCGTCCAGACATAGTAACTAAGAGACTAGAGATATAGAAAGCAGATGACCGAGACACTTGAGAAAGATATAACAATGAGCAAAAATACTATGAGTTTAGTTTGCTGATCACTTTATCATGGATTATTACGTGGCGAACAGACAAGAAGGATATGGACATGAAAGAGAAGACAGATAGAGAAGAGAAATGAAATCATGGTGATTCTTTATGTGACAGCTTCTAGAGACACGGGAATTATGGAAAGGACAGACGATAAACTTCTCAAAGATGTTGGTGATTTGTTTGCAATTCATTTGCCCTACCAACGCCCCAGAACTCTTGCATTTCTGACACAAATGTTGGAGACTTGGACATGTGAAATCTAGAGAGGATCCACTGCAAACAATCCAAGCCACATGTTTTCTGAACCTTGGACATCTAGAATCTAGACTGTCAAGATCCAGCGATCCAAAGGTGAGAAGATCTACGTGAAAGAGCCCAATATGAGCTGCACGGCCAAGCCGGAGCTCACCTTGGCAGAGCAGCTCGCCAAGGCGGAGGATTGTGTCAAGTTCGATGAGGTCTACTACAAGCACCTTGGTCAGACAAGCCCAGAATCGGATGCGTTTGCGTGTGGGTGTGTGGTTTGTTGCTGGTTGTTAGGTTGGTTCTTGGTTGTGGTTCTTGGTGGTGGCAGCTTTTGTTTGTGCGTGGGTGTGTGTTGGCACGTGTGTGTGTGGGTGTGCTTTCTGCTGTGTTTGTTCTATGTTTGCCTTTGTATTATTGTGTGTGCCTGTGTGTTTGTGTTGTTTGTTGCAGTTGTTTGTGTTTTGTTTGCGTGTGAGTCTGTGTTTTGCAGCTACACCAATCCATCCCTAAGCCAACTCTAAGCCCTAACCAAAACCTAACGGTTTAACGAACCTGGGACCCGCCCTAAACAAACCCCAAACTCACCGTAAACCAGCGCTAAGTAATCCCCAAAACGACCAAACAACTGCCCTAAACAAACACTAAGCAAACCAAGTAGGTGTTTTTTTAGTGCACAGGTAAACAGCATGTCGCCTGATTTGCGTTGGCTCCAGAAAGGAAGTTGCTCCGCCTTGCATCGCAGGTAGTTCTTGCCTGTTCTTGCCTGTCAGTATATTCCAACCCAACACCCACCACCTAAACCACCGCTAAACCATCCGCCCCTAAACCAACTCTAAACCAAGCCTCCCTAAACCCTAAACCAACCCGAAAGCCACCGGAAACCGGCACTAATCAATCCCTAAGCCAGCCCTAAACCTTCCTATGCAAACCCTAATTTAGCCCAAAACAACAGCAAGCCCGCCCAAAAGAAACCCAAGCCACGCCCAAACCCACCCTAAGCAGCACCCTAAACTCAGTCTAAACCAAAGCTTAGGGTGATGCTGGGGGTGTTGAAAACGATGTAGGTGCACGTTGTTAGCAAATGCTGTAAAACATCGTCATTTTGCGCCTGCCGAACCTAGCAAACATCACGGCCCGATGAACCCAGGAAAATCAGCTCCCCTTCCGCCGTGGTTCCACTTGCACTTGTTTGTAATATATTGGCTTCGATGGCATCCGGACGAGTTGGGGTGCCTCTTAAGGCTAGATGCAAGCCGTTTTTCGACAAGAATCCCTTCGATAGGAAGGTGGACAAGGTCTTGGGCGAGCGCGCGGTATACCGGCAATCCAAGGGCGCAGACTGGGGCGACACCTTTCTCTTCTACGAAAGCCAAGAGAGTCGCTGGAAGCGCGGCACCGAGGCGAAGCTGGGGCAGCCCTCTTTGAACGTGTCCAGGACCGGAAGGGACTCGCTGTGAAGCCGCAAAGTAAATCATATCATGTGTTTGACGGTTCCTGTTCAGTCCTGTGCTTTCCGCACAGGCATGCATGCAGAGGCACCAGTTCAACACTTAGACTTCCTACCGCATGAAGGCTGGTAGCCCGGGCTTGTTAAATATGACTAGTTCTGTGTGGGTGACGGATGGATCGTGAAGGGAACATGGTATCAAGGAGTCGCAGACAGCTGCAAATGCTGCGATGTGGATAACACCCACAGACTCTGCATACCGATATATAGATCCGTATCGTGGATTTGCTTACGCCATGTGTGTTTCTCCGTGTTCTGAATATTTTGCTGTTGTGTGCATCATCCTGTTCCGAGTTTTTAAAGCAAAATCTGAGATGTGTATTGGCCATAAGTTGGCCTCCGAGCCTCTGTAGGATCACCGATGTACCTTCGCCTCAGCTGGCGGTGTGGATGGACGAGACCGGCGGTGAAAAGCTCGACGTCGTGGCGGTGGATACGGATGGAGTTGCCTTCCATGTTTTGGGGTTCGGGTATGATCGGTTGTTAAATACAACACAAGCAGATCTACAGGCTCAGGATACCGTGAGCTGTGACATGAGCTGGAGCCATGTTGGCAGCACTATGCAGGAGTAAGAAGTCACATTTCACCTCACGATACCTTTCTGTTCGGCGCCACCCCGATGCGAGGTTCCCAACACCATGGGCAACAACTTGAGGCTCGACCCAAGCATCCCAGATGGCTGGAAGGACAAAGCGTTTCCTCACAGCGAAGCATCCATTGGGCCGCGGCTCGGATGATTTTGCATCCGTTCCTTTCCTCCAGCAAAGGTTCTAATTACAAGAACTCGCCGGGAACTCGCCTTTGGTGTGTGTGTGTGTGTGTTTGTTGGAAAAAGTGTTGAACGCGACTCAAGATCGATCCAGACTGTTCGTTTGCGGCCACTGGCCACCATACCTACTGTACGATATCCGGCTTAATTATTGAGTCTTTTCTGCAAAGGTGGTTCTTGGGGTCCTGTGGGTCCTCTTGAGCTCCCCAAGTTGCCCGTTTCCAGGGAGATCAAGACCTTCGGGGAGCCCCGGTGGTTGCGCGCCTTGGCGCTGCATCCCAGTCCGGTGCTCTTCGCGGACGTGGAGCCGGCGGACGCGTGCCAGGGCCGCGTGGGGAACTGCTGGCTCATCGCGGCCATGTCGGCGCTGGCGGAGTTCCCCTCCTACTTCAAGCACAAGGTCTTCATCACCAAAAAGGCCGAGTTGGCCGCGTATGGAAGCGCGCGAAAGCATGTCTTTGCACATATATATATATATATATTTATATATATACATATATATATATATATACATATATGTATATGTATAGTCTTATGGGGTGCGGGCCCAGTCCATGCTTGTTTCTGACGGACTGCGGGCCCTTGTGCCTGAAGTGGAAAGTGTTTCCATGCAGCATGTCTTGTCGGAGGCATAAAGGCAGGACATGCTGCACAGCTTGCACCGCTTGGCCCACGCCTCGAGACGAAGGTATTGAGTCATGTGCAAGACAGGCCCATTCTTATCAATTTGATCGGTCGGCTTCACGTCGCTTTGCAAAGAGGTCTCCGAAAGTGGGAAGTATCGAATCAAGCTCTACGACGGCCGGCTTCTTCGCTGGACCATCATGGAGATTGATGACTACTTGCCGTGCTCACATTACGGTGGGCTCAAGCCTCAACTCATTTTTGGGAAGATCAATGACGGAAAGCTCTGTATCGCACTGCTGGAGAAAGCTTTCGCGAAGCTGTACGGTAGCTACGCGGCGCTTTGTGCAGGCCATCAGCCGGTTGCTTGGCATCACTTCACGGGGTGCAAGGAGTTCTTCCGCTACAAGTCAAGCTACACGGTTGCCGTGAGGTGGGTGGTGACGTCCAGAGACGCTGTCCCAGCCTTTGATGACACTCAGTCGATGTTTTGTTGTTCAACGAATATAGCTGGTTGGCCTTTCCTTTTGTCGCGGTGTGACTATGTGTGTCTGGACCCCCCCCCCTAAAAAAAAAGAAGTGGTTTCCCTTTGGTTTTCCCTTTGACACCTCAAAAAGACAGACGGCCATTTGACATTTTGTAAAAACAAGGCCGGTGTGTTTGTCCTCGATGCTTTTCGAAGGACCGAAAGCGAAGCAAGAAGCTTGGTGCATTGGCTTGGGGGTGCCAGTTCCAAGAGACCAAGCGCATTGGATCCTGGATCAGGTCCTTTGGCGCAGGTTTCTGGACTGTTGCGCTAATTTATCATTCAGGGATCCAGTTTTTTTTTTTTTTTACTAGCCCCAGTTGGGGCTTGGCTTACCCCTTATTGACCAGTTGGTTGGTTGGTTGGTTGGTTGGTTGGTTGGTTGGTTGCCGGCTGGTGGAGAGTTGTTCGGGCTTAACCGGCCGCCTCCCTGGGCTCGCTCGGCCTATTGGCTTGATGGCAGGTGGTTTGGGGTGTGTGTTGGCTGCCCTCTCAGGGTCTTGGGTTTGTTTGGGGTTCATTTGATCTCGGCAAAGGTCTGACATCCAGGACGGGAGTCCGGAGGGCTTAAGGTTGTTCTTTGAGTCGGCTTGGGCTGGCTTGGAGCTGATTAGGGCTAGGTGTGCGGCTCGTTCTTGCAGTAGCTTTTGGGCTTCAGGGCGTGCTTATGCCAGGCTTGGGCTGGTTTGGGATTGGTTGTGGGGCGTTGCCCCAAACCACCAAACCTAGCCCACTACCCGCACAACCACATCCCTAAAGCAACCCTAAAGCCGCTACTAAACCAGCCACGCACCTAGCACAAATCAGCCCCAAGCCAGCCAAAACCGGCACGGCAAACCCTCCCACCAGCATTCTGGAGATCAGCCCTTTGCCGAGCCAAACCCAAGACACGTCCCTGAGACCTCAAGCCCAACACTCACCCGGATCGCCGCCTCAAGCCCACGCATGGTTCCCAAATGCCGGACCGCAGCAGGTGGTCAGCGTAGCTTTGGAAGTCCAACCGGGGTTAGGAAGAAAAGCGGGGATACCTAAAAGAGCACTCCAGCCAATACTTCAGGAAGTGAGCTTACCAAGCTAGTTTTGCTTTTAGGCAGATTAGTTCTTGTAACTCTTTCTCTGAGCGTCGCCCCACGTGGCACCGAGAGAACCGTTCCGTGAGGTTTAAGAAGCTGACTGGCAGCGGGCCCGAGGAGGGCTGGCTTTGCTACTACAACGCCGGAGAACGAGTGGCCAAGCGCGATCCGGATGAGCAGTTGCGCTTCATGTCCTGGAAGGTGTCCATCGACCCGAAGCAAGCGGGAAGCTGAGTGCCCTTTGTGAAGCCGTTTCTTGACCTCGGATCGGGGCCCCAGGGTCGCTACTTGTAGCTGTTGCATCGCCTTTGCATCTTGAACCAATGGCTCTCCAAAGGTAGAGACGTGGTCACTGTGCACGTTCGATTCTGAGGTCATGGGAGCGGTTGGCAAGGGCAGCTCAACAACGAAGTGCTTCAAGCACAACTTCAGCAAGTCCCTCGACTGATCACTCTTCCAGTCTCCTTTTCCCATCCAACAGGTGTTGGTTTTCAAGTTCAGGGGCGGGCACACATTATATGTCAGTCGCACGGTGCGGAATGGCGGCCACAGAGTGGAGAGTGGAACCGACGAGAGCACAACGGCAGAGGACATCAAAGTGGAGAAGAGTAAAGTAGAACCGAGTACAGTAGAGTGGAGGTGGGTAGAGTACAGTGAACAATGCTAGAGCAGCGTAGAGATGAAGTGCATCAACAGAAGAGCAGAGAAGGGCACAGCACACCACATCAGTTGAAGAAAGGCCGGAAGAAAAGTTGAGAAGAGTTGCGTGGCAGAGTTATCAGAGTTCAGCTGTACAGACAGGAAAAGAGAGCACACGAGACAAGACAACAATGACAGACGGGATGAGAAGAGAGAGGACCGAGGAAAAGCACAAATCAGATGCGAGTTCTTCCCAGAAACTTCTGTTCTCGGCATTGCTGCAAGTTACTGACACTTCTAGGCTTATTTAGTTTTGTTTAGGTCAGGCATCACAGGGATAGATTAGCAGAGGGCTTCATACGATGCGGCCTTTCGTATATCAGTATCACCTCACATTGCATTGAACCAGCCATGTGGGGGCTGCTCGCAGGTTTGTTTATCCGGGCGAGATGTGGGAGAGGCTTGTAAATTACGACAAGGAGAACTACTTGATGGCCTGCACCGCCACTGAATGCAAATCTGAAGCGGATTGCGGCATTGTCCACCATCATGCTTACAGCATTCTGCATGCCGTGGAGATCGACAGCGTCAAGCTTGTGGCGTGCAGAAATCCATGGGGCAGCGATTCGGAATGGAACGGCCCGTGGAGCGATCGAAGTCCGGAATGGAAGGGGAAGCCGAGCATCGCCAAGGCTTTGAAGGTGGACTTCCAAACAGAAGGCATTTTCTGGATGGACTGGGAGGATTGGCAGTACATCTTTGGGCGTGCTGAAGTCATGAACTTCCAGATGCCTTCATCACGCGGCGACTTCCACAAGCAGCTTGTTCAAAGCCACGATGCGCCAGCGGTCCAGGATGACCAGCCTGATCCCTCCAATGACTTGTCCCATGACCGCGAAGAGGACTGCGCTACGCTTGTAAAGCTCTGAAAATTGAAGTTGGTCTCAGGTTGTTTGACTGTGGCCGTGGAGAGATTCACAATAAGTGGCCTGCCTTCCATGTGCCTGTGAGGATGATGTTGCCGATCCCGATGCTGATTCTGGTGGGGAATTGCTCGGTTGCACTGGGCTGGGCGAATGGAATGAACCAGCAATTGTCAGAGAGGGCCTTCTGATGGATCCAGGCGGGTCAAGAAAAGTGTTGTTGGAGAACGTGTTGTTGACACTTGTGCAGTGTGTGTTTGCATTGGTAGAACCAAGTCTATACTTTAGTCATGAATGTGTGATTTGGTATTTAGAGGATCTACACGGTGCCCTAGCGATGTGGTGTGCCTGCCCTGCGCTCCGAGAAATCGTGAGGTGAAAGCAAGGTCCGCTTCAAGAATGTGCCAAAGTGTATTCTTGGCAAGACCTTCTTCAGTCTCAAGGGTTCCACTGCCGAGTCGGGCCGCTGGATGATGGAGTACTACCCGCCCACCAAGCTTTTCGCACCTCAGCGAAAGCTCTCTCACAGCAGTTTTTGTTGCACAGCATGAATCAACACATTGTTTTCAGATGAAACACTTACAACCAATCAACCTGAGATTCGCTGGATTTTCGGATGATTTCTGAGGTTTGGCTGATGAAGGGGAAGACTGGCATGCTGCCCTTGGACGAAATGCTGCCCAAGCGCGGTTGGGATATCGAGCCGACGGATGGTTTCCAAACGAGCGACGGCCACGAAGCTTTGCTTACCCTCGCCTTTTCGTTTTCCCAGTTCTGGCGAGTTGAAAGGCCATCGTCCATCCAACTTTAGGACACCCGCCCTGTGCCGAAGCTAGAGGTTGTACGGACAGGCATCGAACATTCTGACTCATTCCGCTTCTTTGTTGGCCTTCACGGCGTTTTGTGGTGTGGTTTTGAGACACAAGAAAGGAATTGCTTCTCTTCAGCAAGTGCTTTGAGGAGGATGAGAAGTACTTCATTGTTCACACGAGCGATCCAATCGTGGGCGGCGTGATTGGAACCTTCCCCTTGCCTAAGCCACCTCCGCCGGATGAGGGCAGTCAGGACCCAGTCACAAAGTGCAGCGGACTTGGCGTGGACTGGAATCCTCCGCAGAAAATGGCAGAGGGCACTCAAACCAATCCAGGCGAGAACGATCACACCTTCAAGAATGTGCCGGCCGTGCTGATGGATGGTACATACATTGGCAGCAAATGCTGGCCAAAGGAAGGAACTTGGACCATCACTTATCAAGTTCCTTGCAAGCTGTATGTGTGGGCCAGGGACGGTGAGTACAGCGGAGGAGTTGATGAGTTGCTGAAAGCTAGAGGTGGTTGGGTTCGAGAGAAAGTTGATGGCTTTCAGCGCAGCGATGGTCATGCCCTGAATTTATGGAGCAAACGTTTCATTGATGGATCTGAGTACAGCTTGGATTTAAAGTCCTGCATGGTCGGCGGCGTGATTGGCACGCCTTTGGCCTCCACGGGCAAGGTGATCAAGTGCTCTGGCCTGGACATTGAATGGAATGCCCCACAGACCATGACTGAGGGCACCTTGACCAACCCGGGTGATCGCGACTACACCTTTGAGAATGTGCCCGCTTGCTTGGCCGGCGGCATTTATATCGGAACCCGAACTTGGCCCGAGGCGGGCACATGGACCATTGAGTATGAAGCCCCGACGATGTTGTATGCCGCTGGGTGGCAAATGTGTGTTTCCTTTCCGCGGAACGGTTTTCTATTAGGGTCGAAGATGCATATAGACATTTCGGCGTTCTGCGCCGGGCAACATGAGCGCTTTACAAGTTTCATAACCCTTTCAGTCGCTTGAGGTATGGATTGAAGGCGGCAAGTACGATGCAGGTGTTGCGGAGTTCTTGGCGGCCGATGGTTGGGTCAAGGAAGAAGATGGGAAGTTCAAGTTCCAGCGGCGGCAAGCGAAGGGCGTGAACCCCCTGAATTTGTGGGGTCGGCACTTTGCCGGTGGCACTTCTTGTAGCGCCCTGGCATTTGTTGGGGATGGGCAGTCAAATTGACGAAAAACAGCGATGTTTTTGTCACCGTGTTTGCGGACTAGAGGTGAACAAAACATAGGCCCTAGTAGGCTGGCTGGCTCACGGACCCCACAGGCGGGAATCCAAAGATCGAGTTGCCAAGTATTGCTTCAGTATGGCTACCCCCGCAGATGTGAAACTCAGACTGGTTCAGGTCTTTGCCTATTGCTTGCTCGTTGTGCTCAAACCGCCCAGGCATTCCGACCAATGGCCTCATGGTGGGTGGCGTGGTTTCTCAGTGCTCTGACGACTGCTGATGCCAGCTCGACTAGCCCTGAGCGGAGTTTCCTTCTCTTTCTCGCTATGCGTGCCTGGCATTCGTGCCTTGCCAAAGTTTGCTATGAGGAATGGAACGCTGAGGCACGTTTTACCTGGCGCTTGCATGCCTCCTAGAGAGGCTCTAAGTTTGAGATAGTAAGGTGTGATCATTTTTATTTTTTTTCAAGGGCAAAAGGCCTCCTGGTATGAGCAACTGGTTCGATGGTTTTTTCTGGAACAGTTGCCAGGAACAGTTGCCAGGCAAAATCGCCTGCATGTGACTGGCCCTGGCTTGCTGTGAAACAACCATTTAGCCCTTCAGCTTTGTGTTTCCGGGCTATGCCTTTGCCTTCGCTGGTTTCCTGCAGCCGGGAGCCTACCTGCTGCAGTGTGTGTGTGTGTGCGTCATATTGCCAGAAGTTGGTTGAGCGCCGGGAGAAAAGCAGGTCGGGCGACACGGAAAGCTTGCTCTGAGGTCAAGAACGCACCTGCCCCATGTCGCCCCATGTCACTCTCGCATACCCTTGCACCATGGCACCTGACAGGGCCTCATCATTCAATGTGTGGAGTTCTGGCAGTTTGGTTGCAGGCGTCGCCTTCCTTTCCCTTCATTGAAAGTGACTGCACTTCAATCCTATATCTTTCTCAACCCTTTTTGAGTACATCCGATAGAGCAACAGTAAATCCAGACGGCAGCATTTTTGTTGCACCCCAGCCCGCATTGCGGGTGGTGAGGTCTTGGGGCTCTCTGGGGATGTGGTGGCTGTGCCGTATGAAGACTAGGTTAGCTAAGAACCAACGGACCAAAGCTGCCTTTCCCTTGCGCATTTGCTGAAGGGGCGTAGACAATCGTCAAACAGACACTCCATGCTGACTGTAGTACTCATGTGTCGTGTGTCATCCTCCTGACTTGCCGACATTAAGGAGATTGAGCAAGCACAAGTTATCTACTAGTGCAGCTGTCAACAGTATTCCCAAGATAGCCAAAGAGCTGCTTCCGTGTGAGCAGCACTTCCAAACTTGCAGCTAGAAACGCGTAACCCACATGTCTTGCCATGGAGAGCCAAGCTGAAACCGCCAATTGTTGGAGGGTCAGTAGCCAATGCCCCCGCCTCTCCCACTAGCCCCGAAAGTGGCAAACACTGAAGGTTGGTTGCCGCTTCGTCCCAGATTCTAGTATAATGTGGGGCTCTAGACTGAACCCCACAGTGGAGGATGTTGTTTTGTCGAGTCACAGACCTGGTGGATTTTCGGTTGGTCTCTCAACAACACTGAATCAAATTGAGTTTGTACATATATCATATATCATATAAACATATATCATATATTTAAATTGAATGGTAGATTTAACAGCAGGACCTTTGTTTCCATGAAGCAATCGCACACAGATCCTTTGAGAGACTGCTTGGTGAGTTTGGCCAGACGAGAAAGACGTGAGTTCCTTGCAATTTGAGTGCTGTCACCTGGAGCTTTCAGGTTACCTTGATGGAGTTTGAAGGGGAGGCGGGTGTGCCAGTTGCCGAGCGGTCCGTTTTGCTTCCCGAGGAAATCTGGGCGCAAGGGACGCTGTGTCAGTCCCTTCAAAGGCACTCAATCCTTCCCTTGGGGTACCAAAGGGGCCCCTTTGCACTATGGAAAACGGGATTTGTGTCCGCCCCCCGTCGCAGGGCAGATTGTGCCGCACAAAGTAGTTGGCGACACAATTATTTGCCCCTTTGCATCATCTTTGCTTTTCCTTGCACAGAAGATAATACTTGAAGCTCTGCTAACAGCGCACAACTCCAGCTTTGTACTGGACTTGGCAGTATTTGCCCGCGCTTTGAGCTGCTGGTGTGGGCTTTAGGCGTTTTCCAATTAACCAGCAAGGTATGCTTTAGCGCCTCATGCTACCGTCATCTTTTACCGGTGTGCGCAGCTAAGCGGCTGTGTGATTGGTGGGTGCTCACCTTTGTGAATGGCCCCTCTCGGAACCGGTTGGATGCGGGCTCCTGGTAGGCGCCTGTTTTCTTACCAGGATGTTAACGTGTTCTAACAAGCGAAGTGCATGTGGCCATTGATGGACTTGGAAACATGTACAAGATACATTGCGCAGCAATAAGGACAACAAGGTGTTTGGGTCACGAGCAATCAGCCGTCCGAGTCAGCCGTCCAGCCTAAGGCCGGAGAAGGACTCCGAGCTTCCGAGCCAGAGGCGGGGCGGTAGAGCAGAGCAGGGGTTTCTGTGGGAGATACGAAGAGGGCTGCGATACTCGCGGAAGCAGCATTCCGCACGTAGGAACGAGAGACCTGTCTTGGAGGCGAATCTGAGAAGCGGCTTTGGGCATTTGGGTCGACTGCGCGTGTGGAACGTGTCATCCCCTGAGGTTCACGACGCTGTACTGCTGGATACAGACTTGCACTTGGTTGGGGCGCTGTTGGCCAGAACGCTGCTTCTGAGCAGCCTTGTGCCGATCGCCAGCCCAGGTGCCCAGTCGCAATCGCACGAGATGTATGCGGCACAGCAACACACGGCATGCGTTCAACGTGCCTATGATGAGTTGACCAACATGGGGCTGTGATCGTTTGACCATGGATTCTACACGTTGATCAGGATTTCGGCAAAGCCTACTACGCTACGATAGACCAACACCTAGAATGTTTCGAGCACAATTGCAGCACATCTAAGTTTTAGTCGGAATCACAAGTATTCGCCGGAAGCAAGAGAATCAGCCAGACTTGAAACGCATGCAAAGAACAAACAAGTGAGCTTTCATCTATGAGACTTAGTCGTTTTATGCCATGTGGTTGCTTGAAGGTTTGGCGAATGTGCCCCTCAAGCTGGCGGCCTAAGCCAATTCATGCGTCAAGCTTAGCATATCGTGGGTGCCCGCCAAGGGTTTTGGACAATTCTCACGTGGTGCAAAATGGAAGGTGATCAACTGCCCTTTTGGGATCAAACAGATGCAACAAGGGTGCAAATCTCTTAGGTTCAAACGCCGCTTCACCCTGGCATGAGGTAAAGCGTCGTGAGCCTTTTGCCTCAGCTAGATGATGTCTCTCCATCTGAGAGGTGGTCAAAGGTTCCAAGAAATAGAGTGAAGTTGCCCAGCCGAGGTGTTCTCTGAACACCTCAGCTTAGCAGTACCTCCGATTGGCCCAGTCTAGCCGACGTCTGCAGAGCGTCCAGAATGCGCCCAAAGGTTAAAAGTGCCTGGTTCTGATCCTTGAACTTCCAGTTGGCGTTGGTTTTGTAAGTCGATGTTCAAATAAGTAACAATTCTCAGCACTGCTGCGAAAAAGCAAAGGCCTTCTTTTTGTTCTTTTGCTTAGATCCCAGACCAAAGCCCCTGCAACAGTTGACCAGATCAGGACTCACGTGAGCAACTACCCTTCGCCAAACCACTAAGTTACTCGAGAATCTCTTGACAAATAGGACTTGCCAATTGTAGAAAGTATGATCTGCGGGAAGGTCCGCCGGATGTGCGGGAAGCTTCGCTCCATTGTATGCCAATGCTATGGCCAAGACGGCTGAAAGAACGGCCGGCAGGCGCGAGTTTCGCCGAACTGCCAAACAAGCAGTACTTTTCCTATCTCGACCCCCTTCATGGCCGAACATGACGAGAGACGGGCCAAAACATAACATCTTGCAGAAATACCATGGGCTGCTTGGCACTCAGGCAAAAGCCATCCCGACGGGGCCCCATAGGCGCCCAATAGGTGCCCAATAGGACCCAATGGTCAATGGTGCCCAAGGCCCACCAGGGCCCAACAAGGCCACATCGGGCCCAACAGCTCATTCTTGCCGCTCTTAGTCTGGGCGCTTTGTGCTTCAACTTCGTGATTTTGCCGTTTCTGTCAACATGCGACCGCCATTGGCTTGTGGCTCGGAGCGTGTCTGGTCCAACTCAAAGCCTGGGAAACGATCGCGCGTGTCTGGCTATGCGCAGACCGCAATGTTCTCGAGTCTTGTGAGACCTGTCTGGGTTCTTTCGATGCGTTTCGATGCGAGGACGGCCTCTTTGAACTGCCATCTTTTGAAGCGGGTCCGGGCAGTCTGCAAACATTCCTTGCGTCTGGCAAGACTGTTCGTTCAGGCGACTCAGGTATTGGGCTGCGATGCCCTGGGAGTGCGGTCTCGCCAGCTTGGCTTGAAACTTCACCTTCCAGCAGCCTGTTTTGCTAGGCTTGCTAGGCTCGGCTGAGCTTGCCCAGGGACTGTTGGGGCGGACACCTCGTGATGCCACCTGTCCTGGCTTGTGTTGGGACGGCAGCCAGAAGGTTCAAAAGCAGGCGGCCCAAGCAAGTGCGCCCAACGTCGTCGGCTTCAGCCCGAAGGACCAATGGCCGCAATCATGGCACCTTCACTCGGTTCAGTCTCCCTTGCGGAAGGGAAATAGGTCTGACAGACCACTCGGGCTCATTCCACAACTTCCGCAGAGGACTCCACATGCCGCTAGACGGAGACAGTTGCTTCTGCACCTGAAAGATGTTCCAGTGAGTTCAGTGGCTTGTCATGCAGCTGCTCATGGTGCCATGTGGGATCGATGCCCCAACGAAGGAAATTGTGGTCACAGAGGCCGTGTAGGGCTGCTTTTTGAAATGCGCCTTTGTTGACCCTACGCCCAGCATGGCCAACATTCTGGCAATGGCAACGCCAAACCCCAGGAAGTTCAGGATCCCCAAGGTGCCCAAGGCTGGCCTGGATTCAGATCGAACTGCCTGTTCCCTCCAGCCGTGCGCCGGGCTACGGTTTGAATCTATGTTGAATTGCTTGGGAGACCTGCAGCTGTGTGCCGGCGAAAGCTTTTGCGGGCGCCGGAGCATGCTTTTGAAATCGGTCAAACGCCAGCGGACCGCAGAGGCTGCGACAATGCGTAAGACGAGCGTAACCCGATTATTCCACATTTGGGACTGCAAGGTTCAGCCTGGTGGTGTCACACGTTGTTTGACGGTCTCGTCCCCCTTACGCCCTTGATTCTTTCGTGGGCGGCAAGTGATGATGAGGCATGTTTCACCGAAG